GCCTGGCGTTGTCCCTTTTTATTATGCTCCTGTAGGTGGTGGTTTTGCAAGTTAAGAGCCACACTAAGTCATGTGAAGTGTAGAGAAAATGCCCACTCATTGAGTTTTATGCATAGATACATTCAGAGAAGAAAGAAAGAAAGATTGGTCTTATTTATATTTGTATATGTAAAACTATGTATGTGCACAGAAAGCTAGATAGTGTGCTGCATGTGGGAAGATTTTTAATCATACCTTCTTATTTTGAAAAGATACCTTACTGTCCCATCAAGTTTAAATTGTAGGGGCAAGGAAGAAAAGGTGGGAATAGGAAAAGAAAATAGCTGTCTATCAAGCAGTGTACAAAGGAGCTTATGTCCACTATCTTACTTTATCCTCCGAGCACTCTTTTGGAGGGTCTGTCAATCAAGGTGCTGTCACAAGGAAAAGAAATTGTACTAGATGTTATAAACAGAGAACATTCAGTAGTGAGAATTGCTTAATTGAGTGTTAGAGAATAAAAGAACAACAACAACAACAAAAGGCATGCTGAGGTACCTCAGAGTTAATAACTAGAGAAAGTAGCTTTCACCCCTAAGGCTGGGAGAACAAAAGGGAAGTAGTGTTACCAGAACCTAGGAGCTTGGTAGAGGTCCTCTGGGGGGCTGGTTCCTGGACCTCTGGGCATAAGCTTTGAGTAGCTGGTACTCAGATCCTTGGCCTGACAGGTGAATGATAGGCCCAGGCAGTGCTGTCCAGAGGATAAGTGAGCATGGCAATGTTGATATTCTGACTGCCAAAGAGCCACAACCCACTGCTGCTGGTACCTCTATGACTTTTCACCAGACAATTGAAAGAAGCTAGAGACTGGAATTAAGTCTCTGTTACTGCTGGAGCAATGCTGGTAACAGCTGGAAAATAGGAAGGAAGGCCCTTTTCTTACCTTTCTGCCTTTTGGTTTGGTGAACAGAACAGGAAAGAGCTAGCAAAGGAGTCTTGGAAATGAAGTTTGCAAAATATTGGCCCATTGTCACAGAGCAGAGCATAAAAGAGTAGGTTTGGAGCTGAGAGACAATAGGTAAATAACTGGGACAGTGAATATTATGCATATTTTACAAAGAGAACACTGAAGCTGAGAAGATTAAATTATTTGCAAAAGATCATTTAAGTGGACAGATCTGGAATGTAAACCCAGGCCTGTGCTGTTTCCACTGTCATATTTTGTCTAATCCAAGGTGCCACTGATTGTTAGAAACGCTATTATTTTACGTACCACTAAGGAAAAAACACAGTACTGCTGGCCGGGCGTGGTGGCTTATGCCTGTAATTGCAACACTTTGAAAGGCCGAGGTAGGCAGATCACCTGAGGTCAGGAGTTTGAGACCAGCCTAGTCAACATGGCGAAACCCTGTCTTTACTAAAAATACAAAAATTAGCCAGGTATGGTGGCACGTGCCTGCAGTTCTCAGCTACTCTGGAGGCTGAGGCAGGAGAATCGCTTGAACCTGGGAGGCAGAGGTTGCAGTGAGTTGAGATCTGGCCAGTGCACTCCAGCCTGGGCGACAGAGCGAGACTGTGTCTCAAAACAACAACAAAAACAGTACTGCCAATGTAATAAGTCATCAATTGTAAAATACATACCAATTTCAGAATTTTTTTTTTTTTTTGGAGACACCCACCATCTCATTCTGTCACCCAGGCTGGAGTGCAGTAGCACGACTATGGCCTTGACCACCCACGCCCAAGCAATTCACCTACCTCAGCTTCCCCCCACCCCAAGTAACTGGGACTACAGGCACACGTGACTGTGCCAGCTAATTTTGGTATTTTTTGTAGAGACAGGGTTTCACCATGTTACCTAGGCTGGTCTCGAATTCCTGGTCTCAAGCCATCCTCTCATCTTGGCCTCCCAAAGTGCTGGGATTACAGGCATGAGCCACTGCACCCGGCCTAGGAGATTTTTTTTAAAGTAAAAAGAAAAGTAGAACCTTAAAATTGATTAAATATGGCATATTATGCTGCCTTGTAAAGAATTTTGTTTTGGAGGCCGGGCGCGGTGGCTCAAGCCTGTAATCCCAGCACTTTGGGAGGCCGAGACGGGCGGATCACGAGGTCAGGAGTTCGAGACCATCCTGCCTAACACGGTGAAACCCCGTCTCTACTAAAAAATACAAAAAACTAGCCGGGCGAGGTGGCGGGCGCCTGTAGTCCCAGCTACTCGGGAGGCTGAGGCAGGAGAATGGTGTAAAAACCCGGGAGGCGGAGCTTGCAGTGAACTGAGATCCGGCCACTGCACTCCAGCCTGGGCGACAGAGCAAGACTCCATCTCAAAAAAAAAAAGAAAAAAAAAAGAATTTTGTTTTGGAGTTGTTGATTTTGAAATACCTAGGGGATACCCAGGTAAAACATTTAGTAGGCAGTTTTAAAATGTGGAGTTATAGCTCATAAGAAAGATGGAAGTCAGAGATACAGAGGTGAAGGTCATCTGCACACCAGAGTTGTGATCCAGAAACAACTTTGGTAACTTGTTTTTTGGCTTTTATGGTCTCTGAGTCTATTATTTCTACCATCTCATTTCATTCTATCCTTTGCCTATCTTTGTGATGGCATCTGTTGGGAAACCTTGATATTGTCTTTTATTATTCAGGAATGCTTTTTTTTTTTTTTTTCCCTTGAATTTCCACAAGCAAGAATCATTTTCTTTTCTCTCTTTTATTTGAAAAGTATATGACCTGCCAGCATGCAGTCTTCACAGGATGCAGTTGTGAAAGTACTGTTATGGGTATGGTAGTGAAAAGCAGGTCTCCAGAAAATATAGATGGTGTTTTTATGGCTTCTCTATTTTTATAGGTCCAGCATGTCTGGCTTGCACCTAGTAAAGCAGGGCCGAGACAGAAAGAAAATAGATTCTCAACGAGATTTCACTGTGGCTTCTCCAGCAGAATTTGTTACTCGCTTTGGGGGAAATAAAGTGATTGAGAAGGTAAGTTGTAACTTGCTGAATTATTTTGTCAAAAGCACATAGGATTTAATGCTTGCCGAGATTTGTTGTCTGGATTTACTCCCAATTGATATTTAGATTCTCAGAGGCTTTGCCTCTTTATGTGAATTTTAGCCTTTCTGCCTCCCTAGCATCCTATTAATAGAATTTCACTGTTTTCCTATAATATGTATTTACCACAGATAATTTAGTCATAGCTAATTAAGGAGTTAAAATAGTGCTCATAAAGTTATTTTTGAGTACTATCAACTTGGGAGGCTGAAACGGAAGGATCACTTGAGCCTAGGAGTTCAAGGTTGCAGTGAGCTATGGATTGTGCCACTGCACTCCAACCTGGGCGACAGAGGAACCCTGTCTCAAAACAAAAAATGTTTTTGAAAGATCTTGGGGTTTTACAGGGTGGGGCTGCACTGATCTGACAGGGTATGAAGAATTGATTAGCTTGTGGGTGCTGGTGGGGAAACAATATGCCACAGCATTGGATTGAAAGCTAAGGGAGTAGAGAGAGTTTCAGAAGAGAAGGCTTAAAGAGTTTGATACACTGTGACTTACTGGCTTCCACCAGGTATTTGAGATGTTTGAAGGGAATATACCACATGATATACTTAGAGATTCCAGGTATTCTGAAATGTAATTCTGTGTCACTTTTATCTAGACCATGTCAGAGCTGAGAGGATGACTTGGCTGAAATAGCTTCCAGTGATTAAAAGATTAAAGGATGGGGACCTATATTTCCACTCTTAAAAGTATTACTTCAGCAGCATCCTTTTATTAGTCTTCCAATAAAGATAGATTATGTGTCTATTAGTCTGTGCTATCCTCAGAGGCATGACTGCAAGATAGGTAAGGCGATAAAAGGTTTGTTTACAGAAAGTCTCAGGATTATTTGATTTTTCTACAACAGTGACCATTCTTTCTGAGGCATTCTTTACAATTCTAAGGTATTGGAATTCAGTATTTTGCAGAAAAGTAACTAATACCAGGATTTTTAAACATGTTCAGTGCTGTGTACCTAATTTTATTGCAACAGAGAAAAATGCATGGCCCTGCACTGGTTGGCCTTCCCCTACTCCTGATTTCATAATATGTCATCCCTCTGAATTTCATTTTCTTCTGTTCCCTAGTAATTGATATGGTAGTATGGTAGAATAATTCACAAACTCACAGGATTTAAGTAATTGTAACTTTTCCCTTCAAACAAATGAAGTTAGAAAGGAGTATGTTTTAGCTGGCACATACTCAAGTATTTGCTTAGCTAACATTTAGACATTGCTTGGCCATGGGGAAGCCAGTTTCTTTTTTTTTTTCTTTTTTTTTTTTTTTTGAGACAGAGTGTCGCTCTGTCGCCCAGGCTGGAGTGCAATGGCCAGATCTCAGCTCACTGCAAGCTCCACCTCCCGGGTTCACGCCATTCTCCTGCCTCAGCCTCCCGAGTAGCTGGGACTACAGGCGCCTGCCACCTCGCCCGGCTAGTTTTTTGTATTTTTTAGTAGAGACGGGGTTTCACCGTGTTAGGCAGGATGGTCTCGATCTCCTGACCTCGTGATCCGCCCGTCTCGGCCTCCCAAAGTGCTGGGATTACAGGCTTGAGCCACCGCGCCCGGCCGGGGAAGCCAGTTTCTAACAGTCTGGACTAGTAACAAGAATTCTTGGTTGAAAGTATGACTTTTACACAGAAAGATAGATATACAAAAATTCTCTCATCTCTTTTCCTCCATTATTGCTTTTTTCTGCCTTTTCCTCCCATTCCCATCTCCTTTCCCCTCCCAGGTTCTTATTGCTAACAATGGCATTGCAGCAGTGAAATGCATGCGGTCTATCCGTAGGTGGTCTTATGAAATGTTTCGAAATGAACGTGCAATTCGATTCGTTGTCATGGTCACACCTGAAGACCTTAAAGCCAATGCAGGTGAGTTATTAGCGTTATGAAAGCATCACTCTCAAAACTAAAACGTGGAATAGCACAACCTTTAAGTAGGAGAATGTTAACTTAGGGGGATTCCCAAACACAAGACTTCCAAGTAAAATTCTTTTAAAATAATTTCTGTTTAAAATGTGTCAGTAATAGGCATATAAAAGTGATTGCACTATAGTCAGCCTCAATACAGATTCCTGTGTTCTAGGGCTAAGTAGGAAGAAATTTAACAAAAGTATTGATTTGGCCTTTCAAGTGTATGCCTTTTTCAGTGTTAAGTATTTGCTATGCCGCATTCTTTGGAATGTGTAAGTGGAAAGATTTAGAAGGAAATGCTGTTTTCCTTATGCGTTATATTGAATTATAGAAAAACTTTGGGCTAAGATTTTTTTTTTTTCCTCCTGAAGGAGAGATCTTTTGGGACCGAAGCGTGTTTCACTCTGTAAATTCTTCTACATATTCTTTTTACTCAGATGGTTCTCTGTCTGATAGTTATAGATAAAGACTCTTGGTATAGCTGAAAGATGTGACTAGTCTTTCTTCTCCATACCTTCTATCACTAAGGTATAATCTCTTAAGGTAGAGTACCCACAGATAATGTGAAGAGTTATCTTTTTAAACTTTTTTTAATCTTTTACTCCCGAGCAGCTGTGAAAAAGAGTTATCCTTTTGTACTTATTTTAGTCTGCATATGTTTTTTCTTTGTTGAGACAATGTTATTATGATTATGCCTAAGAAAGAAAGGTTATTATATCATCTTATTTAGAAATCGAGAAGTCACCAATTTATTAGAAAGCAAATGTTATATATTAGGCCATTCTTGCATTGCTATAAAGAAATACCTGAGGCTAGGTAATTTGTAAAGAAAAGAGGTTTAGTTGGCTCACGATTCTGCAGGCTTTACAGGAAGGATGGTACTGGCAACTGCTCTGCTTCTGGGGAGGCTGCAGGACACTTACTATCCTGGAGCAAGGTGAAGGGGGAGTAGGCACATCACACAGCCAGAGCAGGAATAAGACAGAGAATGCGGTGGCGGGGAGGGTGCCACACACTTTTAAACAGCCACATCTCATATGAACTTAGAGTGAGAACTCATGTATCATCAAGGAGATGGCCCAAGCCATTCATGAGGGAGCTGCCCTCATGATCCAAACACCTCCTACCAGGCCCTATTTCCGAGACTGGGGATTACAATTCAACATGACATTTGGTGAGGGACATACATTCAAACTATATCATGTTATTATGTGAAATCATTTAGATGCATACCTTCACATCTCTGAGCCACAAGTTTCATGCTTATAAAAGGAAGATCCTAATGTCTATTTCACTAGATAATTGTAAAGATGAGATCATCTATAATAAATACAAATTATCTTGCGTGGTTTTTTGTTTTGTTTTTTGTTTTTTTGTTTTTTTTTGAGACAGAGTCTTGCTCTGTCACCAGGCTGGAGTGCAGTGGCGCAAACTCAGCTCACTGCAACCTCTGCCTCCAGGGTTCAAGTGATTCTCCTGCCTCACCCTCCCAAGTAGCTGGGACTACAGGTGCACGCCATCACGCCTAGCTAATTTTTGTATTTTTAGTAGAGACAGGGTTTCACCGTGTTGGCCAGGATGGTCTCGGTCTCTTGACCTTGTGACCCACCTGCCTTTCCCTCCCAAAGTGCTAAGATTACAGGTGTGAGCCACTGCGCTCAGCCCAGTTTCTTTTTCCTCATTCATTTCTACCTGGTACTCCAATTAATTCATTTATTCATTCACTTAACATGGAGACTGACAGTTGAATAAGATGTGATCTTGTTGTAGGAAACAAATAATTTCAATACAATGAGGTAAGTGCTATAAAAGAAACACGCACAGGGTCCAGTGAGAACACAGAGATGAGACATCTAATTCTTGGGGGCAGTCTTAAGAGAAAACTTTCTTAGGCTGAGTGTGGTGGCTCATGCCTGTAATCCCAGCACTTTGGGATGCCGAAGCCGGTAGATCACTTGAGGTCAGGAGTTTGGGACTCCAACATGATGAAACCCCGTCTCTACTAAAAATACAAAAATTAGCTGGGCATGGTGCTGGTGCTTGTAAATCCAGCTACTCGGAAGCTGAGGCAGGAGAATTGTATGAACCCAGGAGGAGGAGGTTGTGGTGAGCCGAGATCGTGCCACTGCATTCCAGCCTGGGCCACAAAGCGAGACTCAGTCTCAACGAAATAAAAAAAAAAGAGAGAAAGCTTTCTGAAAGAGATCATGTCTAACCAAGAATGAGTAAGAGTTAGTGAAGCAATTGAAGGGAGAGAAAGGTGTACCAGACAGAAAGAACAGCATATACAAATGCATAAAGGTATGACACAAGTGGTTTTCTAGAAATTACAGGTGGCTACAAGATGTGATATAGTATTTGCCAAGGGGGACCTTGTTTTCCATCCTCTGAAGCACAGACTTTGTCTTTTGAGGAGAGTATGTGTGTGTGTTGGACATCTAAGGATTTGCATTTTAAATGAATGTGTTTTTTGATATGTGTGTGTGTGTGTGTGTGTGTGTGTGTTTAACTATGTAAAAGTTGAAGAGTATAATTAATCCCTTCCCATCTACCTGTCATGCAATATCCATAATTATCAACTCATGGCTAATCTAGTTTCATCTATATTCTTAACCCCATGCACAATTATTTTGATGCAAATCCTTGATACCATATTATTCGTCATGTTATCTGTGAAGATACTCTTACCTTAAGATTAAGAGATTATACCTTATTGATAAAAAGTATGGAGGGCCAGGCATGGTGGCTCATGCCTGTAATCTCAGCACTTGAGGAGGCCAAGGCAGGCGGATCACTTGAGACCAGAAGTTCAAGGTCAGCCTGGACAATGTGGTGAAACTTGGTCGCTACAAAAAATGCAAAAATTAGCTGGGCATAGAGGCACATGCCTGTAGTCTCAGCTACTCTGGAGGCTGAGGTGGGAGAATCACCTGAGCCCAGGAGGTCGAGGTTGCAGTGAGCCATGATCATGCCACTGTATTCCAGTCTGGGTGTCAGAGTGAGACCCTGTCTCAAAAACAAAGAAACAAACAAAAAAGAAATCTAAACCAAAACAATACTAAAGATTTTTTTTTTAACTTACAAAACTCACAAAATTGAAAACATTCATAATACCTAACATAGGTGAGAGTATTTGGTACCCATGTTACTGGTGAGAGTCTGAAAATATGAATACCTTTTGACCCAGTAGTTTTATTGCTAGTAACGTATCTGTGGATATAATTGGATAGCCATTCAGGGATACACATTATTTTATTATTTTTCAAATTGTAAATAATCTGTACTTCCATCAATAAGTTAGTAGTCAAATGAATTATATAGCCTATTGAAATATTAGGTATCCATCAAAAAATTAAACATATATATATACCAAAAAATATATATTTATATACAATAAAGCATAAACTGGTTGTCTTTGAGGTGGGACAATGGGTGAGAGTCTCACTCTGTCCCCCAGGCTGGAGTGCAGTGGCACAATCTCGGCTCACTGCAACCTCTGCCTCCCAGGTTCAAGCGATTCTCCTGCCTCAGCCTCCCTCAGCCTCCCTCTGTCTGTGGTGGGAATACAGGCGTGTGCCACCATCCCCGGCTAATTTTTTGTATTTTTAGAGAGATGGGGTTTCACCGTGTTAGCCAGGATGGTCTCCATCTCCTGACCTCATGATCTGCCCACCTCAGCTTCCCAAAGTGCTGGGATTACTTTGGGTAATCCACCACACTCAGCCAATTTTGACTTTTAAAATATAGTATTGTTATAGTCTGTTGTATTATCTAACATTATTTAATAATTTACATGCTTTCCCTCCTATAATCAAAGAGAACAATAAACCTATTTTAATTTTGAAGTCATTCTAGCAGAATTTTTTTTTTTTTTTTTTTTTTTTTTTTTTTTTTTTAGAAAGGACTTAAAATCTTTTAGAAATAAGAACAAGATAATCACCATTCTGACTGTCATGAGATGGTATCTCATTATGGTTTTGATTTGCATTTCTCTAATAATCACTGATGTTGAGCTTTTTTTTTTTTTTTAAAATATGTTTGTTGGCCGCATAAATGTCTTCTTTTGAGAAGAGTCTGTTCATGCCCTTTGCCAGTGCATGTGGGGCTTAATACCTAACTGATGGGCTGATAGGTGCAGCAAACCACCATGGCATATGTTTACCTATGTAATAAACCTGGATGTCCTGCACATGTATCCTGGAACTTAAATTTTTAAAAAAAGAACGAGATAAAAGAAGTGTTAATAAATAATGTTGGATGCTTGATTTGAAATTTGAAAGCTAAAATAAATATATAAATGGAGGAAATGAACTTTGAGCAAGTTACTTAACTCCTCCAAGCCATCATTTTCTGTCACATATCAAGTATTGGGTTGATGAGAGAATTAAATGAGATAATGTATATATAAAGTGTTAGTTACAGTCCCTACACGTGGTAGCTCTTCTGTTACAATTGTCATTGCCAGAATAGGAAGATAGATGTTAGGTGACAAATTTGAAAGGGAATACGGTACAACAAATATACATGAGAAAGTGGTTATCTTTCTCAAGTTTCTTTCAAATACCTGTTTCCAGATACACTCTTCCCAGACACTCCTGTAACTAACCTTTCTTGTTTAGCCAGTTTGCAAGCCATTCAGGCTCTCCTATCTTTCTCCATTCTGTCAAGCTCTGCACCAGGAAAAGAGTCTAGGTCCAGTGCCAGTTAAAGAATGTCAGGACTAGAACTTTTTCTCAGAACAGAGTAATTGCACTTGGGCCACTGAGAGACACATCAGCCTTGATATAGAAGTCGTAAAGATTCCTCAGAAAGATTACAAAATGAAATATTGGAGAACTGCTGTTTTAGTATAAGAGCTTCTAAATATGGGGGTAGCTCATATTAGTGCTTGTGACTTAACAAACTAAGAGACCCCAATTAAATGGTCCTGGAAATTATCCTATTAATGCTCTTTGTCCTGTGGTTACTTATGATAGTTCCTGACCTTTACATAGTTTTGCTGTGCAATTAAATTTTTGGAAGAAAACAATCATGTGTTCTCTATTAATTTGCTTGCATTTTCAGAATACATTAAGATGGCAGATCACTACGTGCCGGTGCCTGGAGGACCAAACAACAACAACTATGCAAATGTGGAATTAATTCTTGATATTGCTAAAAGGATCCCAGTACAAGTAAGAGACACTAATGTGTCCTTTAAAACCAAATTCAGCCATTTTATAGTTAGGCACAGGGAGATATCCAGAGAAGAACATTTTTGTAAAGCATCTTTTTTGAAAATTATTAAATGCCTGTATATGAGATAACTAAACCAAATAAGGAAAAGAAAGATGGAAATAATGGAATGGCTAAAAATAAAGTAAACCTAATACAAACAGAAAGTTTGGGAGCATCTTTCAGAGATTATTTATTCTAGGTATCTCACCTTTGAGCCATCCCCAGTAAGTAAAAATTACCTATTTCTTGTGGAATATTAGCCTAAATGATGGTGGTATATTAAAGAAATAGGCTGTTTCTTCCCTGTCACATTGTGTTAGTAAGTTTAGGGTAGGTATCTTAAAGCCCCAAGAGAAAAAACTCTAAACTTAAATGGCAGTGTAATCAATAAAGATGTAATGGAGTGGTCATAGTAATTGAATATGTGAAACATAGCCAGTATTTCTAGAAAATGCCCTTTACAGCCTAGGCTATGAATTGAGTTTCCTAAAGAGCAACAAGAATAACTGGATCTTAATATCAGTTTCAACTTGGTTTTGACCCCTTCAGAGATCTTGCCACAATGGACTACTTATTGTTACTCTGTAAAGAGTTTGCCAACAATCAAGCATAGAAGCTGAATTAAGCATTAGGCTGCTGTGGAACTATTGTACCTCATGAAATAGGGCCAGCCTGGATAGAGAGTCATGCAGTTTGTGGGGGTTTTGAGTGAATTTTAAGAATGAATTATATTATATTCCCTTGCAGGCAGTGTGGGCTGGCTGGGGTCATGCTTCTGAGAATCCCAAACTACCGGAACTTCTCTTGAAAAATGGCATTGCCTTCATGGGTAAGCTGTTCTGACATACTGTCCCTGCCTTTCTGTTTCTTTTCGTCAATTTTGCCCACATTTTACTCTATAGTCTGTTCTTCTTCTGTTTAAGATGTGCTGGGCGCTCTCTCTCTCTCTCTCTCTCTTTTTTTTTTTTTCTCAATCTATTACTAACTCTCAGAGTAACCCTCTTCATTTCTTTCATTTTTTTCATTTCTTGCTTATCTCACTTCATCTTGATTTTGTTTTCTGTCCCTGGGTCCGATATGGAGATGTGGAGAAGGCTTTGGTTTCTAAAACACTGACCTTTTAAAACTTTGCAACTAACCTTAAGAAAGCATGTGGGAAAATTACCTGTTTTTAGATAGTGAAGATAATTGAATACTCAGGATGCCCTGGCAGTGTGCCGTTAAATATGAATCAGCACCTTTGCATTTAAGCATGTAGGTGCTACAGGTGAGAGATACTTCTGACTTTTCTGCTGTCATTATACCTTAAATAATGAACATTATGTTTTCTAAACCTTATTAAAGATAAGTCTCCTTTTTGGGTTCCCCTAAGACCAAAGAGGGTATGCTATTTCAGACTTGAATCCTAAAACTTTAAAGTCCTTATTTCAGGATATTGACTTAAAAAAGAAGACTTTATTGATCTGGTAAAGTTGAATCATGAAGAATGATAACATTATAGCTAGATTTGTCAAAAATTTAATTCAGCATATGTTTATCTATATTGAGCTCTCACTCTGTACAAAAAGCTTACTACATTAGGTGTCATAGATGGTACAAAGGTAAGTCAAAGCATAATAGTCCCCATAATCAATTTATGATCTCCTTGATATGTGAGGGGTCGGGGAGGACAAGACAAATACATAAATAGCTATGATACAAGGCAACTACATGTGCCAGAAATGAGGCCAAGATGTTATAGTCAGGATTCTTTTCCTGTTTTGTTTTTAGGTCCTCCAAGCCAGGCCATGTGGGCTTTAGGGGATAAGATTGCATCTTCCATAGTGGCTCAAACTGCAGGTATCCCAACTCTTCCCTGGAGTGGCAGTGGTAAGAACTGAATTCTTGTTTGTATCTTGAAGTACAAAATAGGTCAGTAGGATATTTGGGACTTACCTCTTTTGAAAAAGTATTGGGATACTTGACAGGAAATGGAATACTGGTTGATTAATGGTACCTTGTAGCTCCTGGCTTAATTAATACACCTGTGATTCTTTTAGCTTAGGAATATAAATTTAGTTCCAGGGACACAGATGCTAAACTGTGATCTAGAGTGATCTTGTGAGTTAACTTGGAGAAACTCTGGGAAAGCACATACATGGTTTTGTGGGTTTAGATGTACTCTGGGTAGGCTAGAATCTTCCTCAGAGGTGGGCTTCCCAGGTGGAATTAGGTCTTCGGACCTGCCTGGGAGTAGTCTGGATCACTAAGAAAAATAAAACCTACTCAAGTATTTACTTGCCAATGTTTTCTTGATATCAACCCACAATCTGTTGATAATTTGCTTTGACTGTTTAAAAACCATTCAACCTCAGTTGCCCTTGATGCAGAAAATGAGGTCAGTAATTAACCTTTCTTCCATGCATGCCAGAGGGGCAAGAATTTTCAGAAAATGATTTATTCTCAACAAATCCCTTAAAGAGTTCCATGTGAATTATTATAGCTGATAACAATATGAATCTTTCTTTTTTTTTTTTTTTTTTTTTTAGTACTCAAGCACTGGGAGCAGACATACACTAAAACTTCTTTTAAATGGGAATGACCATTGTCTTGAGGCTGAACAGATTTGAACCCTTGTTACTCTGACTCTCCAGGGAGATTGCAATATCCTCTCCAGATCTGCTGGGTCAAATCGTTTAAAATAAATGGTTGAATTTGTTCTTGTTTGAATGGAGAGGCTATAGTGTTCCCCTTGTGGCTGAGTACAGGGACGTTCAGAGAGCATGGAATCATGACTCTGCTGAGGCCGATAAAACCACCATTTCTATTTCCAAGGGCTCATAAAGATTGAATTATTTCCCAGACCTCTTGGCCCTGGAGCAGGCCTGAACACACAGTTTGAAGGTATTTTGCCTGCTGAGTTGCTGTGAGAAGTATGCCATGCTCTTTTTTTGTTTGTTTGTTTTGGTCTTGTATGTCTTTGCATTTTTATAAGTTGCTCCCTGTTAGCTCATGTGGCTTTTGCCAGCATAAGAACCCAAGTTGCTGGGTCATGCTATGGCTAAATCCTGTTAACCCCAAGGACTGATCAGGGTTTTATGGCATCCTTCTTTCTCCCATCCACTCTCAGTTTTGGATAAATATGATAGCATTTTAAAGAATGCAGAGCAGAAAATTGACAAGAGCAGAAGCTCTTGTAATTGCCCTAAGTTGCTATTGTCTATTGCAGGTCTTCGTATGGACTGGCAGGAAAATGATTTTTCAAAACGTATCTTAAATGTTCCCCAGGAGCTATATGAAAAAGGTTATGTGAAAGATGTGGATGACGGGCTACAGGTAGGTTACTAACTCCAGGGAGTGATACCTTTCAACTGACCAATTATAGTCACAAATGTGGAGATTGGGAGTCTGGCTCATGATATATACCCAAGGTGGTGTTAGGGATGTAAAACCAGGAGGTGTAGTTTAAAAGTATAGAATACTCTGGTTTCTCTTTAGATTGCATAAGTCTTTTTACTTTAAAAAAATACAGATTGAGGAGGTGACTTTAAATGTAAACAATCTAAATTCATTTCGAAGCAGGCTGCTCATCTAGACAGAACATTTCTTAGGTGATTAAGTCAGAGTTTTAAGGAGGTGCTGATTCTCTCTCTCTCACACCTGTTAGTGTGTGAGGGCAGGGACAACAAACAACATACTTTTTTCCACTGGTTGAATTCAGAACCAAGAAGCCAGGAGGCAGAGATCAAACAGTCAGCTTTATTACGAACAGTGATGTTGGTGAAAATGGCTTAAGTGTGCAGCAACAATCAGATTTGTAAACTGAACACCAGAGTTAAGCAGGCTCACTCACCCACTGGTTACTGGCAGTGCTGAATGACCATAGATTTCCCTCGACAGAGAGCGAGCTTAATTCAGCTTAGTGTATGGCTGAGAGCTGACAAAGAGCATAAGTCCTGTGCAGTGGGTTGATCCCAAAGGGGAAAAGGCTGAACTATGCATATTCAGTCCCTTCTTCCAAGTTGACCAATCACATAATTTATTATTTTTCCCTTGGGGAGGAGCAAGGGAGTGAACCGAGAAAGACTGAAAGTGTTACTCTTAATTGTTGTCTATCCATGTAAAAATGTGAACCTAGGCAAAAGGAGATCCTTTCCCCACCATTAACTTTTCTTTCCTTATAGGTCCCTCCAATTTGTTCCCCTTTAATTTTTATAAATAGTTTAAAGTGTTAGTTATGCTTTCAGGTATAATGAAAGATAATGAAAGAGGCTATTATAAGAAAAATACACTGCTTTAGTTTGACTCGTGTGTTATAAATTCAAGAGGGATGCTGAATGTTCAAATAATTTTGCTGTATTGTTTGCATTTTAAGTTAAACATCCTGTAATCTCCTTAATAAGAAGAATTAATATTTCTAATTGAATTGCAAATGCTTCATTTTGTTTGCTATAATTTGCAAAAGAGTAGAAGCTCTTTGTAAGGAACTAGCTTTTTTTTTTTTTTTTTTTTTTTTTGCTTATCAACTAACATTCTTTTTTTTTTTGGTATAATTATAAACAGCTTCTGGTAGAAAATTTGAAAAGCCAAAGATGATGATAAAGCCACATGAAAACACACCATCCAAAGATAATGTCTGTTAACATATTCATGTTTTTTGTCCTTTTCAACTCATAGATTTATATCATATAAAAATCTTTATTAATAGATTCCTATACTTATGATAATTATAAGTTTTGGGTCTTAATATATGTATTGTGTTGGTAATCATAATACTTTTTTCTACTTAATTTTTTTGTCCTTCTACCTCCGCGCTCCTTACTTAATATTATATTAAAGTGTTAAAATTCTTCCAAAATATTTTTAATGGGCGACGTGTGACTAAAGCTTTCATATATTTTTAAAAGGCCTACCTTCTTACTGATCTCCTGTGGGATACCCCCTTTTTTTGTAAGTCTTTCTCCACACTTATGCTATCTCTTTGATCATCTATCACTCAGCAATTGAGTTCATTATACTAATTCTGTTTATATGAGCATAGGAAAGAATAGAGTTAAGGAAACATTAGAAAAGGTGAGACTGCGAGTAAAAGATTTTCATTCCTAATTGATTGACATAGGTTAAACATTGAAATGTTCTTTTTCTGGGTGATACTTATTTTATTTTATTTTTTTGGGTTGGAGTCTCACTCTGTTGCCTAGGCTGGAGTGCAGTGGTGCCATCTCAGCTCACTGCAACTTCTACTTCCCAGATTCAAGTGATTCTCCTGCCTCAGCCTCCTGAGTAGCTGGGATTACAGGTGCCCACTTTTGTATTTTTAGGGCAGACAGGATTTCACCAAGTTGGGCTGGCTGGTCTCGAACTCCTGACCTCAAGTGATCCACCCACCTTGGCCTCTTAAAGTGCTGGGATTACAGGTGTGAGGCACTGGGCCAGGCCTGGTGATATATTTTAAAGATATTATTGTAATGTAGCAAAACCTTAAAAGACTGGAATATTTTGACAAAGGAATGACTTGGTTATTTTATTTTATTTTATTATTTTTTGAGACAGGGTCTCACTTTGTTGCCCAAGCTGGAATGCAGAGGCACGATCTTGGCTCATTGCAACCTTTGCCTCCCGGGTTCAAGCAATTCTCGTGCCACAGCCTCCTGAGTAGCTGGGATTACAGGCATGCAGTACCACGCCCAACTAATTTTTTGTGTTTTTAGTAGGGCCAGGGGTTCACCATGTTGACCAGGCTGGTCTCAAACTCCCGACCTCAGGTGTGATCCACCTGCCTCAGCTTCTCAAAGTGTTGGGATTACAGGCATGAGCCACTGTGCCCAACCCCACTTCAGCTAATTTTAAATGAACTCTTTATGTCTTTTTTTTTTTTCATTGTGATATGTGGATACCTGCATAATATAAGAAATTCCAATAATGCAGAAATATATACAGTGAAAAAGGAAAGTTTTATATCCACCCATCTTTCTTTGTTTTTTTTTGTTTTTTTGAGATGGAGTTTCACTCTTGTTGCCCAGGCTGGAGTGCAATGGCGTGATCTCTCGGCTCACTGCAACCTCCACCTCCCAGGTTCAAGCGATTCTCCTGCCTCAGCCTCCCGAATAGCTGTGATTACAGGCATGTGCCATCATGCCCAGCTAATTTTGTATTTTTAGTAGGGACGGGGTTTCTCCATGTTGGTCAGGCTGGTCTCAAACTCCCGACCTCAGGTGATTCGCCCACCTTGGCCTTCCAAAGTGCTGTGATTACAGGCATTAGCCACTGAGCCTGGACCCATCTTTCTTTTCTAAATCATTGCTGGTATGTACTCTGAACTTCAATTCTTTGCACTTACATATGTAGGTGTATGAATGCATATATAATTTTGTTTTTGACTCATGTGACATTACTTTAGATTGAACTGTAAGAAATTGCCTATATTCAGTCATTTTTTTAATCTATGAATAAGGCAATTTCTTTTGGTTCAACCTAATACTACAAATATTGTTCTACTATTTATTTTTTCACCTAATAGTGTATCTTGAAGATCTTTCTATTTTGCTGTATTTAGACTTACTGACTGCATTCTTAAAGGGAGAAAAATGCCAGTTTTCTCCTTCTCTAGTAATAACACTATTTCTTCTATTTTTTTTTCTTTTTTCTTGAAGGCAGCTGAGGAAGTTGGATATCCAGTAATGATCAAGGCCTCAGAAGGAGGAGGAGGGAAGGGAATTAGAAAAGTCAACAATGCAGATGACTTCCCTAACCTCTTCAGACAGGTAGAATATAAGCTGTTTTTGTTTGTTTGAACTAACATATATATCAGAGGTACATGATTTAACTCATACTATAATTTGGATGTCCAGAAAATATTTAATTTTTAATTTTGTCTATAGCTAATTGTCTTTCAGTCTAGTTTCTACCTGCATGTTAGCAGAGAAAAAAGGTTAATGAAATGTCCAACTCAATTTTAAGTTTTATTTAACTAGGTAATTCAAAAAATAGAGTTATTCTGTCCTATATAAACATGCTCAGTTTCTCAGATAGCTCTTCCCTACATGGTGCGTATGGCTTTTAGGACCTCATAATGGCAAAGAAAAATCAATACCTTTCTATATTTTTGTGTCCCTGTTCTGCTGACTTTGTAGATAATGTGTGGTGTGGTGGTATGATACTGGTATGGTTGCTCTTGGCTTGGACAGGCCCAGGCTCTCTGATTGACTTTTTCTCACTTTAGTTCACATTGCCTAGAGACCTCTGAGTTTCCATCATATGTCCCATCTACCCTGCTGTCCCAGCAGTCTATACCCTAGTCCGTGCTGCATGGCCACCACACCCTGGCACAGGAACCCTGTCTGTGGCAGGCCCATAGTATATAGGAACTGAGAGTGACTCAGGAAAGCTCAATGTAGGATCTCTCTTTGTCTTACCCTCTGCTTTGCAGCCAAGTTGATGTGGCTGTACTATACATTGGTTGTAGAGACGACCAAATAAGTGATGTCTTTTTAGAATCTTAAACAGAGTGAGAAAAGGGAGACAGGAGTCTCTTTTTGTTCTGCCCTCACATACTTAGTTACCATCACATACTTAACTCACTTTTTTTCCTTCTACCAGTGAGTAGTAAAAGATGTGTCAAAAAATGGAAAATTGGGACAGAAGTCTGCTCTTTTCACTCTCCTAGCTTCCCTCTTTTTCATAGTTTCCTTGTCATTTTCTACTTTGCACTTCTTTTACTAGTGTGCCATACCACCTTTTATTTGGCTTTTTTTTTTTTCTTCTTAAAACAGCAGCAAACTCCTTGCTTCACTGTCAAAAGTTAAATGGAAAATCTTATGAGCTGGGTCTTCCATAATTTGATATACAGATGGTCCCCAACTTAAAATTTCAACCTACAAATTTTCAGCTTTACAATGGTGTGCAACTGATAATGCATTCAGCATAAATCTTACTTTGAGTGCTCATACAGCTATTGTTTTTCACTTTCAGTACAACATTCAGTAAACTACGTGAGATAGTCAACACTTCATTATTATAATACAGACCTTGTGTTAGAAGATTTTGCCCAGCTGTAGGCTAATGTGTTTTAAGAACATTTAAGGTAGAATAGACTAAGCTATGAAGGTATCTTAAATACATGTTAAAATGTTTTAACTTATGTTGGGTTTATTGGGACATAACCACATTGTAAGTCAAGGAGCATCTGTACTAGATAAAGGAAGTGATAAAGGTGTTGTCTTGGCTGGGCTTGGTGGCTTATGCCTGTAATCCTAGCACTTTGGGAGTCTAAAGCGGGAGCATAGATTGAAGCCAGGAATTTGAGATCAGCCTGGAAGACAAAGTGAGATTCTATCTCTACAAAAAATTTTAAAATAAATAAATAAATAAGGTATTGTTTTGCTACATTATCCTATTTTAAGTGTCAGAAATTGAATACTACCTTGGGTTTTTTTTTCCCACATTTTTTTCATTGAATTCTAATTTCATAGGTAGATCAGTGACTCAGAGGGTCTAGAGAAAAGGACTTTGCTCTTAGAAGCAAAAAGAAAAAAAAAGCATGGATTAATGTTAACTGATACAGACATTTCAAAACTACTCATTACTATGGAATCAAATAGTGGAAAAGTCTTAAAACACTAAGGGGAGGTTTTCTGTGAAAGTCCTTAAGTTTTTCAATACTAGTTGGCTGAATAAACCAATCCTCCCATTGGGAATAAACTAGAAAAGCTGAACCAGATTTCTTTATAAATATGTGTGTGTGTGTGTGTGTGTGTGTGTGTGTTTTATGGCATTAGAGACCATTCAAGACAGTGAAGAATTATGGGGCTAACATATAGGAGAAAAAGGAAACCCAGAGATGTGAGCCTGACGTATGAGGCTACTTTTCCCCTAGATACATCTTCTAGTTCAAGAAGAAGCACCTGAAAGGCTGATAAGTTTTTGACAATCTTAAAAGACTAAGAGGGCTCCCTGGGGAGAGGTGCCCTGGAAAACCTCCCACATTTTAGGTTGGGATTTTTAAGGACTGACTACGGGAGAAAGGGTGAACTGGAAATAGACTAGCCCTCACAGGGACTAAATCTTGGCTTCAAAACATTCAACCTCTGATTTAAGCAAGATGGTTTAGGATTGCTAGTGCCTCTAGACACCTGCAGGAAGCAAATGTAAATCCTTTCCGGAGAAAGATAACATCCAGAACTTAAAATTATTTCTGTTAATTTTTCTTACAGCATATCAACCACTCAGTTGAAAACAGGCATACAAAATTAGACGATTGAAAACCAAGAAGAACAAAACAGTAGAAACACACCTACAGAGGGTTTAGATAATGAGATTATCAGACAAGGACTTTAAAGTAATTCTGCTTAACATATTCAAGGACATTAAAGACAAGATTGAGAATTTTGGTAGAGAACTGGAAATTATAAAGAAGAAACAAAAGTTCTAGAACTGAAAATGCAATAACTAAAATTAAGAAGTCAGTATCAGTAGCCAGGCATGGTAGCTCATGCCTGTTATCCCAGCACTTTGGGAGGCCGAGGCAGGTGGATCACTTGAAGTCAGGGGTTCAAGACCAGCCTGGCCAACATGATGAAACCTCTACTAAAAATTAGCTAGGCCTGGTGGCACATGCCTGTAATCCCAGCTACTTGGGTGGCTGAGGTAGGAGAATCACTTGAACCCAGGAGGCAGAGGCTGCAGTGAGCTGAGATTGTGTCACTGCATTCCAGTCTGAGCAACAGAGCAAGACCCTGTCTAAAAAAAGAAGAAGAAGAAGAAGTAGTCAATATAGGAGTTTAAAATTATAGCATATTAGATGCAGTTGAAGAGAATTAATAAGTGGCACTGGAGACTGAAATAGGAGAATCCCTTGAGCCCAGGAGTTTGAAGCTGCATTGGGCTATGGTCATGCCACTGCATTCCAGCCTGGGTGACAAAACAAAAAAAAATAGAAAAAGATAAGATAATTAATGACTGGTGAGTAGATCAGAAGGAAATTCAGACTGAAGCATGAAGAGAGACAAAAGGATGAAAAACATAGAGCAATGTGAGAAATTATTTGCAAAGATGATCATGATAACTCTTTCCATTTCTGTGTACCTACTCTGTACACCATTATTTTGCAGCTCCTCCTATCAAGAAGTAGAGTCTTTTTTCCCCAACCCTTGAATTTTAGCTGACCTTGTGACTTGTTTTGGCCAGTAGAATGTGGCAGAAATGGTACACAAGTTCTGAAGCCTAGCCTAAACTTCAAATAGTTTTGTAGTTGCCCTTGCTGTCTTGGAGCGAGCCCTCAGACTACCAAGTGAACGGCCCATTCTAGTCTACTGGAGAAGGAGAAGTCACATGAGCAGAGATGAATTGTCCCAGCTAAGGCCTCCTAGTCCTACTAGCTGACAGTCAGCAGCACCACATTTGAGACATGTAAATGAGACCATATTTGACCGTCTAACCCCAGTTGAGCTGCCAGATGACTATAGCTGCGTGAGTTACTCCAGGCAAGATCAGAACTGCCAATTGTGCCAAATTCAAAATGCTGATCACACTTATGAGCAAATAAAATAAAATGGTGGCTATACGAAGTCACTAAGATTTTGGTAGTTTGTTACGTATCAATGGATAATTAACACAGAAATTGATACCTACAGGTATGATATTGCCATAACAAAAAAGTAAAACATGAGACGTTGACTTTAAAACTGGCTCATAGGTGTAGGCTGGAAAATTGATGAGGAGGATGTTAATGAAGACTGGAAGAACGATGAACTGTTAAGGGAGGCTGGAAAAGCAGTGTAGTAGTTGTTACTGGAGTCTGGAAAAAAGATCCATGTTCTGTAATAATGGAACAATTGGCAAAAAATGTTATCTGAGGTAACTTGGAAGATAAATTGTATATATTAATTTAATGAAGTCATGGATCTGTTTAAGGAGCTCTCTACAAGTGTTTAAAGTATCTGTGGAGTGCTTCTAGTTGCTTATGTTAAGAAACTGTAAAAAAGGGGTAAGCTAAAGAAGATGTTTTGCTTGCAAGCAGAATTGACAGAATTTACAGAAATGTAAAGGACCCAGAACTTATTGAAAATAGAATTGTTTCTCATCCCGAGTCTCTCCAGCTGGCAAAAGATTTCCTAAGTTAAAAATGCCTCAGGGTAAAGACTAAGTCAAGAGTGCTGTGACTTTAAGGCCTCAGAAATCTTTAAGGTAGTAGCTAATAAATTATCCTTTCAGCTGCAAAGATGCTTCTAAGTATCCTTTAAAAAAAAAAAAAAAAAAACACTTTCAGCTAGAAACAGGCTTCTAGCTATCTTTTTTGTTTGTTTGTTTGTTTTGAGAGGGAGTCTCACTCTGTCGCCCAGGTTGGAGTACAGTGGCGTGATCTCAGCTCACTGCAACCTCCACCTCCCAGGTTCAAGTGATTCTCCTGCCTGAGCCTCCTGAGTAGCTGGAATTACAGGTGTCCACCACAATGCCTGGCTAGTTTTTGTGTTTTGAGTAGAGACGAGGTTTCACCATGTTGCCCAGGCTGGTCTCGAACTCCTGATATCAGATGATCCTCCCACCTTGGCCTCCCAAAGTGCTGGGATCACAGACATAAGCCACCACGCCTGGCCCTAAGTATCTTAAGGGTACTGTCTCACAGCATCCTGATGTGCCCAAAGTATAGAGAGGTCTATGCAGACATGAGTTGTGGATGTGTCTCTTCGGGTGAGTGGTGAACCCCAATATGATTCATAGGAAACCCACAAAGTTGTCAAGAGATTTGTGTTGATGAATGCACCAAGGGACTGAAAGGGCCAGAAACAGCTCAAAATGAAAAGTGACCTCTGAGCCTTAAACTTTTTATGGGCAGGAAGCAAACAGAAAGCTATTCATCTGTAAACAGCTGTCATTTCAAATAAAAAGGGAGATTTTTCAGAGAGTGGAGTCAGGAGCCCAGAGGGCAGAGCTAAGAGCAGGGGATGCCATGGATTAAGGACTCACTCCGAGGGAACCAAACTAGACCCTAAAAAACAAAACAAAACGAAAAGAAAAGCATTCCTGATGCTGGAGTAAGGGCATTTGACAGCATGTACCTATCTGGATTTCAAAACTGCTATGGACCAATGACTACTGTGTACCTCCTATTTCCTCCTCTTTGAACAACAATCTCATTTGCAATTATCCTCTCCCAATATCATCATAAATATTGGGAGTGTTGGGCCAGATAACTTGTCTTTTTAGTTCCCAGGTCTTTGGATCAAGAGAAACTGTACCTGAGGAGCTGCACCCAAGGAACCTCATTTTCTTCTGGACGTGACTCATGAGAAAATGGACGTCAAGCCCGATGCCATGATTGGATGAGACTTTGGGGGTCTTGGGAGGGGGTGAGTCTATTTTGCATGTGGGAGGTATGTGAATTATTATGGCCATAGGGTAGAGCATAGTAAGTTGTTTGCAAGAGATGGCCACAATAACTCCTCCCATTCCTGTATGTACACCCTTTGCAATGTGACTTTGCTGTTCCTCCCTTCCATGGGTGGCATCTATTTTCCCCACCCCTCGAATCTTAGCTGGCTTTGTGGCTTGCTTAGACCATTAGAATGTGGCCAAAGAGATGTATAAATTCTAAAGCTTATACCTCAAGAGGTCTTACAGCTTCTGCGTTTGCACTCTTGGAACACAGCACTGAAGAAGCCTGGTCTAACCTGCTGGAGGATGAGAAGTCACATGCATTGGAGATGAATGATTACAGCTGAGGCTCCCTAGACATACCAGCCAGCACTCAGCACAAATCACCAGACATCTGAGTGAGACCATTCTACCCCACTGAAGCTACCAGATGGTGATATGTATATAAGTGCAAGACTAGAAGAAGAACGGCCCAGATGAGAACAGCATCGTAAAAGGTTGATGTTCTAAGCAAGCCACTGAGTTTTGAGATGACTTGCTACATGGCAAAACAGAGCAAAAAAGATACAGAGCATAAAAGACTATGGGTTATGTGAAATGGTCTAACATCATGTACTTTAAGTCTCAGAGGAGAAGAGAAAGAGAATGGAGCAGAAGCAGTATTTGAAGAAATGATGAAGCAGAAGCCATATTTGAAGAGAGAAAGGCTAAGAATTTCTTTGAACAGATAAAAGATACCAAGGACAGATTCAAAAAGCACTATGAGCCTTAAGCAGGACAAATACAAAGAACCACATCTATGCTTATCAGAGTAAATCTACCACTCTACCCCCTACAAAAGAGAGAAAGAGAGAAAATCTTAAAGCAGCTGAGGAATAAAGATTACTTTCAAAAGAGTAACAATAAGATTGACAGTTGACATCTCAGTAGAAACAGTGAAAACCAAAAATTATTGGGATTATTTAAAGTGCTGAGAAAAAAAAATAGTTACCATTTTAGAATTCTGTCCCCAACAGTAATATTCTTCAAAACTAAAGATGAAATTCCTTTGGCTGCAACAATACCATATATGATGTAATGTGAACCAGGAAAGTATCTTGTCTGGAACAAGTTGTACATTTAGTTGTACAGAATACAGGATGGTAGTATTTTGCCCATTGTTGGATTTGTGTATGTGCCTATGTTTTCAAGTATTTTGTTGTTTACCTTTGTGATGCACCAGATTTTCATGTTTTCATATTTATCAATTAATATTGATTATGTAAGAATGAAGCATCTTAAAGATATTAAAGATGATGGCATGGACTGTATTTTATTCACTTTTGTATTTCTGCTGATTAACATGGTTCCTGACACTTCTGGACATCTGCTTGTTGAAATCAAAGTAGCTTATCAAGATAGATAAAATGTTTAAAATTTAAGAATTGTTTTTTTCCCCCCCCTTTTCTAATACAGGTTCAAGCTGAAGTCCCTGGATCTCCCATATTTGTGATGAGACTAGCCAAACAATCTCGTCATCTGGAGGTGCAGATCTTAGCGGACCAATATGGCAATGCCATCTCTTTGTTTGGTCGTGATTGCTCTGTACAACGCAGGCATCAGAAGATTATTGAAGAGGCACCAGCTACTATTGCTACTCCAGCAGTATTTGAACACATGGAACAGGTACATATATTAAAAGGCTTACTTTATGTTTTCTTACACAGAACATTTTTCATTCAGTTCATGTACCAATCTGAGAATAATGGGATTTTAAACAACTATTCTGAATAATTAATAAAATTATATCCTTTTCTTAGAGAAAAAAATTTTACTGTTTTCTCACTAAGAGAATTGTCAGGGAACATATCAAGCTCTAAAAGTAGTTAACGTGTTCTTAAAAAAAATCAGTGTACCATTTTGGGAAAGAGGGATAAAGAAGAGAAATGTTTTGAAATTTTTAGTCTTATGATTGATTTTTTTTTTAAGAAGCTCATAATCAGGTAGTTTCATTTGCTGGGTTGATTATCATCAAGTCTTCAGCTGAATTTAATCAACTCTATTATCTTTTTTGGAAAGTCCTCTATCTTCAGAGTTCACACATTTCTATCTTTTTGTATAGAAAACAGTTTCTCAGAGTCATGAAGGATGCCTTTGGAATAACTATAGTTTAGAGACCTGAACATAGTCTTTTCTGGAGTCCTGACCCAGTCTCTATATCAAAATATATTCTTCAAAATATATTTTTTGTGTGTTAGAAGTCTATTTCCTATGTTGTGTATATATTAGGATGAACTCTTGAACTGCTGTAATAAAGATGCCTTCAAAATGCAGTGGCTCGGCCGGGCATGGTGGCTCTTGCCTGTAATCCTAGCACCTTGGGAGGCTAAGGCGGACAGATCACTTGAGCCCTGGAATTTGAGACCAGCCTGGGCAATATGGTGAAACTGCATCTCTACTAAAAATACAAAAATTAGCTGAGTGTCATGGCACACATCTGTACTGTCAGCTGCTTGGGGGGCTGAGGTGGGAGGATCACTTAACCCTGGGAGGTCAACGCTACAGTGAGCCTTGATCGTGCCACTGCACTCCAACCTGGGTGACAGAGCAAGACCCTATCTCAAAACAAACAAATAAATAAATAAGCAAAATACAGTGGCTTAAACAAGGTATAAGTTTCTATTTCTCTTTCATCATAGTTCAGAGATGAGCTGGTACCAGAAATAGGTTTATTGCTCACCTGTTGCCTGTTTTTATAAATAAAATTTTATTGGAACACAATGATGCTTATTTATTTATGTGTTATTTATGGCTGCTTTATCACTACAATGGTAGCATTGAATAGTTGTGACAGAGGCTATATGACCCACAAAATTGAAAATAATTACTATCTGGCTCTTTACCAAAAAAGTTTGCCAAACTTTGGTCTCGGACATTGTTATCTTCGTGATTAAGCTAACTCACACAAGATTATGTGGAGGGCAAGCATATGGAAGCATGATCTTGAAGTCACATATATCACTTCTGCTCACATTCCACTGGACAAAATTCAGTTACACAATTATACCTAGCACAAAGGTTGTTAGGAATTGTGGTCACTAACTGAGTGACCATGTGCTCAGCAAAAATTTCAATTTTATTCCTAAAATGATGAAGTGGAGAAAAGTCACTGGAGGGCATTTCATAATCTGCCTCAGTCTGTTCCTCTGGCTACCCATTATCCTTTTATCCTTTTTCCTACTCTCAGAGCACACATTGCCTTTGTCCAAGGAAGACAGCCTGAAGTCCCATCCAGTTACTAGTAACTGGAGTTACTCCAGTTATTACTGGAGGTGATTCTGGATCTCTGTGTGATGTATATTCCTCTCCATTAGATATGTATTGTGGCTTTTCATGGGCCAGTGACTCAAAATACAAGTTATTTACCCACTGTCATTCCCCCCCTGCCCTTACCATACACCCAATATACAATAATGGAATAGGAACAAGATAATTCTCATTTGGAAAAATGAAAAGTACATAGCAATCATTGGTCCATAGCAGTTATCAAATCCTCCTTTTTAGGTAGGAATTGCAATGATTCCCTTCTATATAGGAGAATACTACCTCAGGCCTTCTGGCTGTCCCTGGTTCCGCTACTGCACACTGCAAAGAAGCGCAATAAGGGAGTAAATCCCTTGTTCATTGTCCTTCAAGGCACCTACCATTGTTTTCTGGGAAGTTCTTCCTCATTCAGTTTTCTCTGTGAGTTGGGCTTTGGAGACTATGCCTTCTTTGGGAGAACTTTCACAACCCACTTCCTGCTGGTGCAGGATTGAGGGCACAAATATCCCAATCATCAACCGCAGGCTTTTGAAAGCCAGGTTTGTGGTTTGTTTGGAAATACAATTCCTTCAAATACTTACTAAGCTTCTGGGCTATTTGCTTGCAATCAGCTTTGGGTTGGATTAATCATACTCAAAGATTTCTTCTAGATATAGAAACTTTTCTTCTATTATTTACTGGCTTCTGTGCTTAGCCTATCTCTCTTACCTCGATTTAATATTGGCTATCTTGGGGCCAGCTGAAACTAAAGCAGCATGTTTAATCTGATCTTTGACACTGAGTTGCTTCAGGGTGATAATCTCATTTTCTCTTTGGGGGAGTACAAAAGAAGTTGGCTTTTTCTTCACTCTGACCCTTTCAGATCATCTTTTTTAAGGTTTAGTTGGTGTGTGGTCAGTATTCCAAGTTATTGTAGGAAACAGTTTACCAAATGTTGTGTTATCCCAACAAGGAGGTTATCGCCTTTCCAGCCTGCAGTATCTGTTTCTCTGCTACCCACTACTCTTTTGCTAAGCTAGCATCTCATATTTTAATATTTTTAAACAGCAGCATTCTACCTGCACTTAATAATTCCTGTATCGATTAGGCTACAGGTTAAATTACTGTAACAAAAAGGTCCAGAAAACACAGTGGACCCCCCAAAAAATAGAAGTTTATTTTTCTCTCCCATCCTAGTCTGGGGTGAGCTTTTCAGGGCTAGTGGAAGTTTTTTATTCCATGAGGCCATATTGGGATACAGGTTCATTCTTTCTTTTCTTTTTCTTTCTTTTCTTTTCCTTTCTTTTCTCTCTTGCTGTTGTTAGTGTGTTCTCATTTGCATGATTGAAGCTGGCTTATACTATTATGACCACATTCCAGTGAATAAGAAGGAAAAAGCTAGGAATAGAGAATGAGACTTTTCAAAATATGACTTAGGGCCGTGTGCCGTGGCTCACGCCTATAATCCCAGCACTTTAGGAGGCTGAGGTGGGTGGATCACCTGAGGTCAGGAGTTTGAGACCAGTCTGGCCAACATGACGAAAACCCATCTCTACTAAAGATACAAAAATTAGCCTGACACAGTGGCATGAGCCTGTGATCCCAGCTACTCAGGAGGCTGAGGTAGGAGAATCACTTGAACCCGAGAAGGGGAGGTTGCAGTGAGCCCGAGATTGCGCCACTGTGCTCCAGCCCGGGTGACAAAGCAAGACTCCATCTCAAAAAAAAAAAAAGAAAAAAAAAATATATATGACTTATGAGTTACGCATATCACTTACCAGTGCTGATGTCTTGTTTGTCAGAGCTTAGCCACTAACCAGGCCAGGCATGGTGGTTCACGCCTGTAATCCCAGTACTTTGGGAGGCCAAGGCGAGTAGATCACCTGAGATCAGGAGTTTGAGACCAGGCTGGCCAACATGGTGAAATTCCATCTCTACTAAAAATACAAAAATTAGCCAGGCATGGTGGCGCATGCCTGTAATCTCAGGTACTTGGGGGGCTGAGGCAGGATAATCACTTGAACCCAGGAGGCAGAGTTTGTAATGAGCCACGAGATTGTGCCACTGCACTCCAGGCTGGGAGACAGAGTGAGACTCTGTCTCAAAAAAAAAAAAAAAAAAAAAAAGAAAAGAAAAAGAAATCTAGTCTCTAGCTAGTTAGTTATGTTTCTAGGAAGAAGAGGAGCATATTGGAAATACTGGAAATTGGACAAGAGTCTGTCCCTATGTTTTTTTGTCTGCATGCATTTATGTCTGATGGGGTGAGGTTGCTTTTGATGCAAAGTGAAAAATACGCTTTTCTCCCGATTTTTCATTGAGTTTTTCATCCATGTCCAGGGATATGATAATCTGAAAGGGTCAAATGTGCTCTCATGTGGCTAAAAGCCTTTGATGGCTCTTTTTTTGAGACAGAGTCTTGCTCTGTCGCCCAGGCTGGAGTGCAGTGGCTGGATCTCAGCTCACTGCAAACTCTGCCTCCTGGGTTTACGCCATTCTCCTGCCTCAGCCTCCCAAGTAGCTGGGACTACAGGCGCCCGCCACCTCGCCCGGCTAGTTTTCTGTATTTTTTAGTAGAGACGGGGTTTCATCGGGTTAGCCAGGATGGTCTCGATCTCCTGACCTCGTGATCCGCCTGTCTTGAGCCACTTTGATGACTCTTATACACACTGAACAGTTGAGTCATTGAGAGGCTGTAGTGGTCCAGCAGTTGGATAAGGTGAGATACTTATGTTTGCTTATCTCTCTTCTTTGAGTGTGCGGTGAAACTTGCCAAAATGGTGGGTTATGTGAGTGCTGGGACTGTGGAATACCTGTACAGCCAGGATGGCAGCTTCTACTTTCTGGAATTGAATCCTCGGCTACAGGTAGAGCACCCTTGTACAGAGATGGTGGCTGATGTCAATCTCCCTGCAGCTCAGCTCCAGGTGAGTCTCCCTGATCTGGATTGTGGAGCCTAGAGAAGTCAGAGAGGCCTGAAAAACGGGTTTAACCAGTGTGTGATGAGAGAAAAAGCACCTCCTATCTGAGTCACACCTAATGTTCATTTCTCTTTCACGCTGTGTGGGTTATCCATGTGTGGGTTGGTTTTCCTGATATAGTACAGGCATAGGAATATTTTTTTTTTTTTCTAGTCAGACACATCTGATATAATGTGTCATGTTTTAGAAATAAATGTTAATAATGTATGCTTTATTCAATTATTTAACTATAGTAAACTTCACAACTTTGTATTATAATTATTCCCTACTCATTTTTTTTTTTTTTACTAGTATTCTTTATTGAAATAATTCTGCATCAGAGATTGGTGGTTGAAGTTTTTCCTGACAAGAGTGTGGTAGCACACATATATTTTTATAATTTGTAAAGTGCTTGCTGTCAATATTATTGTCTTCTCTCAGCCCAGGAAACAAATATTATGGAAAGCAGTAATAGTTAACGATAAGGTTTGATATTATTTTTATCTAACATTATTTGCCCAGATTGAGAACACCTTCTGGGTTCCTATTAAAGACTAAAGATTTACTTACTTCCGCCAGTGGTTTGCAGGGATGGAAGAGATAATTATGACACAATTAAGACTTTCTAGTTGTCTGTTTTTGGATAGCTATTAACATTTACTCCTCCCTTAGATATTTTCATTCTCATTATGTGATGGAGAAATGACAACATGAGAACTCGTGTCTGTTGCATTAGGAATGTGGGGACTTCTTTAGAAGTGGAGAATATTCTAACTACTTATCTGTAGTGATATATTGTATTTCAAGCAACTTAGAGTTGATGATTGTAGAATACAGATTATAAAAATAGAATGTTTTAGGGAGTGGCTCCAAAAATAAAAACATTTTAGGTTATCTGATAGCCTCTACACTTTAAGGGAAGTAACTGAAAAATTAAAGATGTGTGTTTTATTACCTTTCAGATTGCCATGGGGATTCCTCTATATAGAATCAAGGATATCCGTATGATGTACGGGGTATCTCCCTGGGGTGATTCTCCCATTGATTTTGAAGATTCTGCACATGTTCCTTGCCCAAGGGGCCATGTTATTGCTGCTCGGATCACTAGTGAAAATCCAGATGAGGTAACCCGTCACTTAAAAGGTTTATACCTCCTTTTAATGAACTTTAATGTTAAGATAGTATCTGAGCGTATACTTCTGAAATATCTTGGGACTTCCTCTGGAGAGAGAAATATAGAGGTTTCTCAGAGCACATAAGTAAATGTCATTGCTTCATTGGTTACTTAATCCCACTTAAGTCACTATAGAGTCTTCAGTGGGCCTGTAGCATTGGGTCTTCGCCTTTATCATTTTTGTGTGTCTTCTCTGCTTCTGTGTGTGATTAACACAGAACTTAAACAAGAATATATAAATCTTCTCTTCCTTTGAAACATAATATGGTCTCTCATTCTTTATTCTCTAACAGGGTTTTAAGCCCAGTTCAGGAACAGTTCAGGAACTAAATTTCCGCAGCAATAAGAATGTTTGGGGATACTTCAGTGTTGCTGCTGCAGGGGGACTTCATGAATTTGCTGATTCTCAGTTTGGTCACTGCTTTTCTTGGGGAGAAAACAGAGAGGAGGCAATTTCGTGAGTATAATAGCATTTGATTGCATTTTACAAAATAAATTTGTGCTAATCTTAAGTGAAGGTATGAGCATGGGAATAGGAATCATCTGCTATCAAAGTAATAATATTAACAACCTTTTTGAAGAAATCTTGAATATTTCTAATTGTACTGACATTCATATTGTATTAAATTATGGAGTGCTTGGCAGATGTTTTTCTGTTTGTTGTTCTGAGCCTTTTGAAATATTTTTCCTTTCAAATATTTTTGATAAATGTATAAAATTGATTGCTTTAAAGGTATCTTATTTTTCCACAGAAAGAGTATTGTTATTGAGGGGAGGTAGATTCTTAGCCAAGAACTAGGTATCAAATAAATCATAGACTTTTATTTTATTTTTTTCTTGTGAGAAGACTTAAAATCTATTAGCAGTTTTCAAGTACACAATCTATTGTTATGAGCCATAGTCACCATGATGTACGCTTATAGTTATTTAAAATAATAAAATTATACTGCTCATATTATGAAAAGGACATAAAGAAATTGTCTACATTGCTTATATACGAGACCTTAGTGTGCTGTAAAGTATATAACAGCTTAGGCAAATATAACTGCTATATCATAAATGTTAGATAATATTCTATTAATCATAAACAATGAATATTAAATTAACAGCACTTTTGCTTGCCTAAAACATAGGGCTGAAGGAGGTGATTTTAACAGCTTAGATCTTTTGGAATATCTATCCAAAATTGAAATTTGAACTAGTTCTTTTCTGTTTTTTTAATGATTTATTGCCTTGCATCAAACATTTAATACCATTCCCTTTACCTTTGAACTGTACACGGAGTAGGTAATTAATAAGTGTTTATTAGTATTAATTAATAAGTAGCATTTGTTTATTAGTAATGTATTAATCCTAATATATGGTTATTTGTATTAATAAACACTTATTGATTAGTTTTATATTTTTATCAATTTCATGAATTAATTAATTTTAAGAGGCAGGGTCTTGCTCTGTCACCCAGGCTGGAATGCAGTGGTGCCATCACAGCTCACTGAAACCTCAACCTCCTGGGTTCAAGCAATCCTTTTGCCTCAGCCTCCTGAGTAGCTGGGACTGCAGGTGTGCACCACCATGTCCAGCAAATTTTAAATTTTTTGTAGAGATGGGGTCTCCCTTTGTTGCCCAGGCTAGTCTCAAACTCTTGGGCTCTAATGATCCTACCACCTTGGCCCCACAAAGTGCTGGTATTATAGGCATGAGCCACTGTACCCAGCCTTGATTAATTAGTTTGTAATATTGTTTTTAGAAGTAGGGAAATCTCATTATTTCTCTATTTTGTCCTTTACATTTCTTCTCATTCTTCAAAACTATAAGTGGAATTTTTCAAAATTAAAACACTGCTACCAGAAAAAAACATTGGTAGGAAGTTGCCTTTTAAGCATATTCACTGCCATATTATGCTCTGCAAAGTGAAAAAGGTTTACTAGAGCTTGCAAATTGTTGGCTTTCTGGTGAGTTTCAACGTACAGATGTGTTTTGATCAGCTCACAGGGTGTTAATGTTTTTTAATTTGACAATATTAAAAAATCAGGAGATTGAAATCAAAATATGGATTTCTGCTAGCTCTTAAAAGTAGGACTATAATGACAACATTAGTTTTACATTCTCGTTGTTAAAAGTTAGCTAGGCTCTTTCCCTAAGTGGCCTGAGGTAATCTGTGAAAATGGTTCGCTATTCACTTGACCCGGAGAACCCCATGAAATCATGCAAATCAGGAGGTTCCAATCTTCGAGTTCACTTTAAGAACACTCGTGAAACTACCCAGGCCATTAAGGGTATGCATATTCGAAAAGCCACGAAGTATCTGAAAGATGTCACTTTACAGAAACAGTGTGTACCATTCCGACGTTACAATGGTTGGGTTGGCAGGTGTGCCCAGGCCAAGCAGTGGGGCTGGACACAAGGTCGGTGACCCAAAAAGGGTGCTGAGGCCGGGCGTGGTGGCCGAGATGGGCACTTTGGGAGGCCGAGATGGGCGGATCACGAGGTCAGGAGATCGAGACCATCCTGGCTAACATGGTGAAACCCCGTCTCTACTAAAAATACAAAAAATTAGCCAGGCGCAGGGGCGGGCGCCTGTAGTCCCAGCTATATGGGAGGCTGAGGCAGGAGAATGATGTGAACCTGGGAGGCGGAGCTTGCAGTGAGCCAAGATCGCGCCACTGCACTGCAGCCTGGGCAACAGAGCGAGACTCCGTCTCAAAAAAAAAAAAAAGAGTGCTGAATTGTTGCTGCACATGCTTAAAAACGCAGAGAGTAATGCTGAACTTAGGGGTTTAGATGTAGATTCTCTGGTCATCGAGCATATCCAAGTGAACAAAGCACCTAAGATGCGCCAACAGATCTACAGAGCTCATGGTCGGATTAACCCATGAATGAGCTCTCCCTGCCACTTTGAGATGATCCTGACTGAAAAGGAATAGATTGTTCCTAAACCAGAAGAAGAGGTTGCCCAGAAGAAAAAGATATCCCAGAAGAAACTGAAGAAACAAAAACTTATGGCACGGGAGTAAATTCAGCATTAAAATAAATGTAATTAAAAGAGGGAAAAAAAAAAGTTACCTAGTTTTTCCTGGGCACAGTGGCTCACACTTGTAATCCCAGCATTTTGGGAGCCCGAGGCGGGCAGATCACGTAAGGTCAGGAGTTTGAGACCAACTTGGCCAACATGGTGAAACCCTGTCTCTACTAAAAATACAAAAATTAGCCAGGTGTGGTGGCGAGTGCCTGTAATCTCAGCTACTCAGGAAGCTGAGGCAGGAGAATCACTTGAACCCAGGCAGCTGAGGTTGCAGTGAGCCAAGATCGCGCCATTGCACTCCAGCCTGGGCAACAAGAGCAAAACTCCGTCTCAAACAACAACAACAAACAGCTAGTTTTGTGTGGCTGCTTCTTTTAGATGGTACATAAACTTTGTAGTTAACACAACTCCTATTCAGTCTGCCTCACTCATTTATGTTCCCAGACTGGCCTCTGTTGGCATTTAGGTTTAAGTTCTGATTTGGCAGACCACTGTGTATTTTTTTCAGGGAATGTCATATGACCCAATCCAGAAGACTTGTTCCTTATTTTCGACCAGCTCTGTACATTTGTCTACAGTACAAAACTAACTAGCTTAATTTTTAGCATGTCAAAAATATGTTGTCTATAATAAGTCTCCTTCTTGACACTATGCCAAAAGTTCATTCTTCAGCTTAGAGCTTTCTTTGTTTCTTCTTCATTACATTAGGTGTATATCTTCAGCTTGGGGTTTGGACTCTTGTTTGCCAGAATGCCCCAACTCATATATTCCAGTATATTCCAGTATAATTTCCCTTGGGTCATAATCTAAATACCATGAGAACAGGACTGTGTCTTGTTACTGCTATATCCCCTGAACATAGTAAGCATTCAGTAAATGTTGGTTAAATGGATTAGCCACTCGTTCCCATCCTTATACCTCTGCTTCAATCATACCATTCCCTGAACTCAACCTGTATTTTCGTGTTTTTTTTTTTTTTTTTTTGAGACGGAGTCTTGCTCTGTCGCCCAGGCTGGAGTGCAGTGGCACAATCTCAGCTCACTGCAACCTCCGCCTCCTGGGTTCAAGTGATTCTCCTGCCTCAGCCTCCTGAGTAACTGGGATTACAGGCACATGCCCCCATGCCCGGCTAATTTTGTCAAGCTGTATTTTTTTCTCTCTGCTTTTTTGTTTTTGCTATTTCCTCTGTTTATTAATTTTTATTTTTTTTTTTTTTTTTTTTTTTTCTGACATGGAGTGCCCACCACCACACTCAGCTAGTTTTTGTATTCGTAGTAGAGACAGGTTTCACCATGTTGGCCAGGCAGGTCTCGAACTTCTGACCTCAAGTGATCTGCCCGCATCGGGCTCCCAAAGTGCTGGGATTACAGGTGTGAGCCACTGTGCCAGGCCCATTCATTCATTCTATTAAACAAATATTTACTGAGTATCTACTATCTACAGGTTCTGGCAATACAGTGAGGTCCAAAATAGAATCTCTGTCCTCACAAAACTTTACAATCCAGAGGGTGTAAGACAATTGGCAGTTAAAATACAATGTAGTAAGAATGGTGATAGTCAGATTATTTAAGGGCATTATAGGATCATACAGATGAGTCAACTAACTCAGTCTGGAGGGGGTCTGGGAAGGTTTCCCAGAAGACAGTGACATCTAGATTGATAATTGAAGTTTGTAGAAGTAAGTCAAGTCAAAGGAGGACAGAGGTGGGCAACAGAATAATATTTTAGGCTGATGGAATGCCTGGACCACCTGGAAGATGATTCCTGTCACAGTTATAATTGTCAGCTATACTTTTAGCCTATGTCAGATTTCACATTTTTCATGAAACTGTAGGGAGGTGAATTTCTCCCTTCTTACAACCTCTCCAGAACTTTGCTTAAGTATTGTCACTGGCATTGATGATATTCCACCATGTGTTTTGAAAGTGATTATTGTATTTATATTCTTTCTTCCTTACAGTCATAATATGTGTCTTATTAGTATGAACTACATAATTAGTATTTGTTTAAGTAAATACCTGTCCTGTGCAGGATAGACACTGGGCATAAATATACAGAAAAGCCCCATAGTATTTGAAATTCTGCTAAAATTGGATCACTTTGCACTTAACTGGGAAGTAATAAAAGTAATGAGCAAATCATTGCATAGATATCCAAAATGCAGTTTAAAAAAACACTCCCACTTTCCTGATATATGACTGCACCCAGAGAGTTGCTTCACTGTGTGGAAATCTTTAAATTAAGCCCTTGGGAAAATTCATTGAACTGTATACTTAAAATAAGTATATTTTACTGTATGTAAATTATACATAAATAAGGTTTAAGGATAGGGAGAATTAATGCCCTAATTCTTGTTAGCCAACAATAAATTAATGGAATAAGGGAAACTTAACTAAGTAAAAACTGAGGGTGGTTTGCATATAATTTGTTATAATTTGTTCTGTACTCATTATAATGAAATGTATCTGATTAGCTGATGCTCTTAGGGTAATATCAGTTAGAATTCAAACGTTTACTGACTTTTTGCGAATTTTTCTCTGTGGAATGCACATGAATGAGCACACTTAACATGTGCACCCTTATTTGTTTTTGGAACTGTCTCTTTCCCTTCCCTCTCAGGATTCCGAAGGAATGAAACAGTTCTTTTCTTTTTGGTGGGGGGACAGAGTCTTGCTCAGTTGCCCAGGGTGGAGTGCAGTGGTGCAATCTCGGCTCACTGCAAGCTCCACCTCCCAGGTTCAAGCCATTCTCCTGCCTCAGCCTCCCGAGTAGCTGGGACGACAGACGCCTGCCACCACGCTTGGCTAATTTTTTGTGTTTTTAGTAGAGATGGGGTTTCACCGTGTTAGCCAGGATGGTTTCAATCTCCTGACCTGTCTTCGCCTCCCAAATCCGCCTGTGTTGGCCTCCCAAAGTGTTAGGATTATAGGCGTGAGCCACCACGCCTGGCCAAACAGTTCTTTAAAATGATTGAAAAACATTAAAGTGTTTGTTGCTGAAACAGATTGGCTTCTGTTCTTCTCCCAGAAACATGGTGGTGGCTTTGAAGGAGCTGTCTATTCGGGGTGACTTTCGAACTACAGTTGAATACCTGATCAAATTGTTAGAGACTGAAAGCTTTCAGATGAACAGAATTGATACTGGCTGGCTGGACAGACTGATAGCAGAAAAAGTACAGGTGTGTATTTCTCTACTTGCACAAACAGCTGCTGGGATTGGGTTTTTATAAACTTGGGTGCTCAATCCCTGTCACTAAATGAAATTTATTTGATTCTAATGTAAATGGTTCTTGATCTACCTGGAAAAATCTAGGAGTCAGTGTAATTTTAGCACTCTGATGATTCCTGTGCTAGTGTAACACAGTCATTTTATGTTCTAGCATTGCTTCCTGACGTATATTTGAAGAGAAGCATGCAGAGATTGAATTTCTTTGTTTTTCTTCATTTAATGTTAAATCTGGTCCATAGTTGCCAACTTCTGTATCTACCAGATGCTGAAGAGAGAGGCCTCATTTAAATCAAGAGTTATCAGTTATTCCTTAATTCCTGGGGCTATGCTAAATTATCCAAGATTTTGTATAAAATCGTTAGATTCATATAATTTGTCTGGAGGTCCAAAGTTTGGCTATAAACTGTTTTTCTTTGAGATTATCAGTAGCCAAATCGTTGTGTCTTTAAATTTATTTCTGTCAGAAGCCTATTTTTGAGCTACTCATTGATTGGCTCAGTGGAAGTCTTAGGGAGAGAAGAAGAAATTTTTCATTTCTCTTCAAATGGTCCCTCTAATCAAATTCTAAACGTGAATGTGTTCATTTTTATCTAAAAAATCAGTTGGGCAGTGAGAATGGAGATTTTCATTGCTAGCTGTTTCATCACAACAAATGTGAACCTGATTTCATTTGAGAGTCTGTGGTGCCAAGTGACCATGCATTTGATCTGCCCTCTTTTTCCTCCTTTCAGGCTGAGCGACCTGACACCATGTTGGGGGTTGTATGTGGGGCCCTCCATGTAGCAGACGTGAGCCTGCGGAATAGCGTCTCTAACTTCCTTCACTCCTTAGAAAGGTAGGCTTTGTTTCTTGTAGGCTACACAAACTAACCAATGGTCCTGAGTACAGGGACTGAAGCTCAAAGACCCATTTATTCTTCTGTCTGTTCCTGGCAGCTTATGAGTGTTACTTGTTATTCATGGACCATGGTGGCAAGAAAGAGAGGGGATGTTGATGTTTATGGCAAATTATTTGGGGAGTCTAACTGCAGATTCTAGACATTAACTTATACCACAGTTAGAACAGGTTGCTTCTTTAAAAACTGGAATCCATCTGCATTAGATATTCTGTCCTGTATAAGTATCAAATCTCTCCAAACCCTGGTGATAAAAATCTGGTATTTCTCCCCAGCACTGAACCATAAATATTTCGTGTATTACCTGTACCACCTTTCAGAAGTAAATAATTAAGGCTGATATTCAGGATGACCTCATGAGTCTTTCAAGTAGGGAGTGAGACATCTATGGGGCTAAACTAATTTCTAATGCTGATTCAGGAGACTAAGCTCTGTCTTTGAGTCCCCAGAGGAATGCTCCAAGTGGCTAATCATTTTAAAGCACTTTAATCACAGGCACTTTTATTTCCTTCTGTGTTGTTAGACTTACATCAATTCCCTTTTGAGGTATCTGAAAGAAAGAAAAGAAACAAAATTTAAAAATTGAACTGAGATTTCAAGCCCTATGATAAGTATCTTTCACTTTGTTACTCTCATGTAGTAAAACCTTCAGCAGCTTGGCATTTCTCTTCTGTATCAAATCTAAATCCCTTGGTGTGACTTTCAACTCCCTGTATTCATTGGCCGCTTTTTACCAATCCAGTCTTATTTATTTCTGTTCTGCAACATATACTTTCTAACCTAGTTAAATAGTTTTCTTATTCGTGTGCAATTATGTCAAATGCATTTTCCTCTACAAGCCCTCCCCCTTTTTAAATGCTTTTGTTTTTAACTTATTTTATTTTTATTTATTTATTTATTTATTTATTTTTTGAGACAGAGTCTCGCTCTGTCCCCCAGGCTGGAGTGCAGTGGCGTGATCTCGGCTCACTGCAAGCTCTGCCTCCCAGGTTCACGCCATTCTCCTGCCTCAGCCTCTCGAGTAGCTGGGCCTACAGGCACCCGCCACCTCGCCCGGCTAGTTTTTTGTATTTTTAGTAGAGACGGGGTTTCACCGTGTTAGCCAGGATGGTCTCGATCTCCTGACCTTGTGATCCGCCTGCCTTAGCCTCCCAAAGTGCTGGGATTACAGGTGTGAGCCACTGCACCCAGCCTTTAACTTATTTTAAAAACTTGTGTTTTGAAATAATTTTAGGTTTTTAAGAGTTACATAAATAATACAAATAATTTCTATATATTCTTTGCTCAGATTCACCAATTAACTCACAACTTACCACACTTGCTTTATCACTCTTTCTCTACTATTAGCAAAAGTTTTTCTTGACAGTGTTTCTCTCCTTGGTAATTTTCTCCCTCTCCCTTCCACCCACGCTACTGCCCCCCTTACCTACCTTTTTTTTCCTTTGAGACAGAATCTCACTCTGTCGCCAGGCTGGAGTGCAGTGGTGCAATCTCGGCTCACTGCAACCTCTGCCTCCCGGGTTCAAGCAATTCTCCTGCCTCAGCCTCCTGAGTAGCTGGGACTACAGGCACGCACCACCATGCCCAGCTAATTTTTGTATTTTTAGTAGAGAAGGGGTTCCGCCATATTGGCCAGGATGGTCTTGAACTCCTGACATCATGATCCGACCCTGGTCTCCCAAAGTGTTGGGATTACAGGCGTGAGCCACCGCTCCTGGCTTTTTTTTTTTTTTAAGACAAAGTCTTGCTCTATTGCCCAGGCTAGGGTGCAGTGGCACGATCTCGGCTCACCACAACCTCTGCCTCCCAGGTTCAAGCGATTCTCTTGCCTCAGCCTCCCAAGTAGCTGAGGTTATAGGCATGCACCACCATGCCTGGCTAATTTTTGTATTTTTTAGTACAGATTTGGTTTCACCATATTGGCAAGGCTGATCTTGTACTCCTGACCTCAGGTGATCCATCTACCTCGGCCTCCCAAATGCTGGTATTATGGACGTCAGCTACCATGCCCAGCCTTTTTTTTTTTGCTTTTTTAAGATGGAGTCTCGCTCTGTTGCCCAGGCTGGAGTGCAGTGGTGCGATCTCTGCTCACTGCAAGCTCTGCCTCCCGGGTTCATGCCATTTTCCTGCCTCAGCCTCCTGAGTAGCTGGGACTACAGGCACCCACCACCATGCCCAGCTAATTTTTTTGTATTTTTGGTAGAGACGGGGTTTCACCGTGTTAGCCAGGATGGTCTGGATCTCCTGACCTCATGATCTGCCCGCCTCGGCCTCCCATTGTGCTGGAATTACAGGCGTGAGCCACCGCACCCGGCCTCCTGGTCTTTTTTAAGACTCTTAAATAAAGTTTCAGTTGCTAGGAGTAGATATGCTTATACTAAGTTTTTATAATTTTTTCACGTTTAATCTTTATCTTTTTTTTTTTTTTTTTGAGGTGGAGCCTTGCTCTGTCACCAGGCCAGAGTGCAGTGGCGTGATCTCTGCTCACTGTAACCTCCGCCTCCCGGGTTCAAGCGATTCTCTTGTCTCAGCCACCCAGGTAGCTGGGACTACAGGTGCACTCCACCGTGCCCAGCTCATTTTTGTATTTTTAGTAGAGTCGGAGTTTCAACATGTTGGCCAGGATGGTCTCCATCTCTTGGCCTCGTGATCAGCCCACCTTGGCCTCCTAAAGTGCTGGAATTATAGGCGTGAGCCACTGTGTCCAGCGTTAATCTTTATCTTTAAGAACAGTTAACACATTCCTGTGGTTCAAAATTCAAAAGGCACAAAAAAGATTAACAGTGGAAAGTCTCTCTCTGACCTCTGTTCCTTGGCCACCCAGTTTCCATCCCCTATAGTAAATTCGTATTACCAATTGCTTTTCTAACCTTCCAAAGATATCCTAAACTTACATAAATATATACATGTGTATTAGTCTGTTCTCACACTGCTAATAAAGACATACCCAAGACTGGCTAATTTGTAAAGGAAAGAGGTTTGAGTCACAGTTCAGATGGCTAGGGAGACCTCACAATCATGGTGAAAGGCAAAGGAAGAGCAAAGTCATGTCTTTTGTGGTGGCAGCCAAGAGAGAAAATGAGAGCCAAGTGAAAGGGGTTTCCCTTTATAAAATTGTCAGATCTCATGAGACTTATTCACTCCCACGAGAACAGTATGGGGAAACTGCCCCCATGATTTAAGTATCTCCCACCGGGTCCCTCGCATAACATATGAGAATTATGGGAGCTACAGTTCAAGATGAGATTTGAATGGGAACACAGCCAAACCATATCAACATGTGGTACTTGTTTCTTCCCACCTCCTGGTTTTTAAAAACTCAAATGGTAGCATACTGTGAAACTGTTCTTTACCTTGCTTTTTTAACTCAACAGTATATTTTTTTAAAGTGTTTTTTAGTTCACATCTTAATATCTGTATGTTTTGTTCCACATGTGAAGACATGCGCAGCATCACTAATCATTAAGTAAATAAAGTCAAAACCATGATGAGATATCACCTCACACCCATTAGGATGCCCACTGTCAAAAAACAGAAAACAGCAAGTATTGGCAAGTACATAGAGAAATTGGGACACTTGTGCACTCTTGATGGGAATGTAAAATGATGCAGCCACTATTGAAAAATGGTATTGCAATTACTGAAAAAATTAAAAATAGAATTACCATATGATCTGGTAATACCACTTCTGGGTATTCTGAAAGAATTGAAAGCAGGGTCTGAAAGATACTTGCACAGCCACATTCATAGGAGGATTATTTACAGTAACTAAAAGATGGAAACAACTCAGATGTTGGTTGATGGATGACTGGATAAACAAAATGTGGGATATACATACAATAGAATATTATTCAGCCTTAAAGAGGAAGGAAATTCTGACACATGCTGAAACATAGGTGGATCTTCAGGACATTAGGGTAAGTGAATTAAGCCTGCCACAAAAAGACAAATACTATATGGTTTTACTTATATGTGGTATCAAGAGTAGTCAGACTCATAGAACCAGAAAGTAGAATGATGGTTACCAGGGACCAGGGGGAGGGGGAAATTGGGAGTTGTTAATGGGTGTAGAGTTTCACTTTTGCCAGATGAAAAAGTCCTGCAGATTGGTTGCAGAACAGTGTTAATATCCCCAACACTATAGAAATGTGCATTTTGTAATGGTTAAGATGGCCAATTTAATGTAATGTGTATTTTACTCTAATTTTAAAAAAATCCATTATAAGATTCTTTCATAATTGATGTGATCAATTCCTTACAAATGATTATTGAGGTATTTAGGTTGTTTCTAGTTTTTTGTTGTCCTAGGAAATGCTATAATCAATAATCTTTTAGATTCTCTTATTAACTGTTGGAACTTTGTAGTAAGTGTCTCTCTTGCTGCTGTTCTTTCAGGGGTCAAGTCCTTCCTGCTCATACACTGCTGAATACAGTAGATGTTGAACTTATCTATGAGGGAGTCAAGTATGTACTTAAGGTATGCAGAACCCCATTGGAGTTTGCATCTTACTTTTTAAGCTATCTTTCTTTAGGCTGAGAGGCAAGAGAAAAAATTTGATGTAATGCAGGAATGGGGGTGTTAGTGAAATTACAGTCATTATTTGTGTCAGTGTCCTGAAGCAGCATTTGTTGTTACCAAGAGATAAAGGAGAGACAGGGAACAACCACAGCTAGGAAAAACAACTAAGGTTGCCATCTTTGCTTACAGCAGGACTGAGTCATGTCCACAGTCACTGATGCAAATAGCATCAGTGCCATGAGTTTTTGTCCTCCTGACAGATCTTTCTTACCTGTATTTTTGAAGCATTCAAATTTTGTTTGGAGTTGTACCTGGAAGGGACACACTGATCCTCATTCTCATTCCCTACAGGTGACTCGACAGTCCCCCAACTCCTATGTGGTGATCATGAATGGTTCATGTGTAGAAGTAGATGTACATCGGCTGAGTGACGGTGGACTGCTCTTATCCTATGATGGCAGCAGTTATACTACGTACATGAAGGAGGAAGTGGATAGGTAAATGACTGTTTGAGGTCCATTTGCCGGTCATCCTATTAGCCTTTTCTCTTATAAGTTACTAGTTTTTGGGATTTTTCCCAGGCTTTTTTTGGTACTCGTTTGTAGTTTAAAAAAAAAATAGTACATGTACTTAACAAAAATATCAAGAATATAAAAGTGTTTGTAATTTAAAACATGTCTCCCTACCTTTCCAGTGTATGTGGACAATGAAAAATAAGTTCCCCTTTTTATAAGTAACCATTGTTAAAAGTTTCTTATATATTTGAGTAAAAATTTTATATGCATGTACAAGTTACATTCATGTACATACTGTTTTTCTTTAAATACATTCACAAATGTGGCCAGGCGTGGTGGCTCACGCCTGTAATCCCAGCACTTTGGGAGGCCGAGGCGGGTGGATCACCTGAGTTTGGGAGTTCAAGACCAGCCTGGCCAACATGGTGAAACTCTGTCTCTACTAAAAATACAAAATTAGCCAGACATGGTGGCATATGCCTGTAGTCCCAGCTACTCGGGAGGCTGAGGCAGGAGAATCGAATGAACCTGGGAGGCGGAGGTTTCCGCAGGCCGAGATTGCGTCATTGTACTCCAGCTTGGGCAACAAGAGCAAAACTCCATCTCAAAAAAAAAAAAAAAAAATTCACAAATGTTCAACACCAGTTGTGGTATTATGAGAATGAAATAAATTAATATGCTGAAAATGTGTAGAACATTGTCACAACATAGCTAGTCTTCAAGAAATGTTAGCTATTACATCATCAATATCTTTGTGTTTTTTTAAACTGTGGTACCTGTTATTTTTAATAGCCATGTAGTGTTCCATTATGTGATTATACTATACTTTATTTAATCTAGGAAATTTTTCTTAATTGACATTGTAAACAAAGGTGCAGTGAATGTCATGTGCGTGTGTGTGTGTAATAAAGTTTTCAGGATTTTTTTATTTGAAGGTTGACATTCTCTACCATTCTCCTTTACATCCTGAGGTGCTTTCTTAGCTTACATACTTCCACTTGTCTCCTAGATATCGCATCACAATTGGCAATAAAACCTGTGTGTTTGAGAAGGAAAATGACCCATCAGTGATGCGCTCACCTTCTGCTGGGAAGTTAATCCAGTACATTGTAGAAGATGGAGGTCATGTGTTTGCTGGCCAGTGCTATGCTGAGATTGAGGTCAGTGTGGTGAAAAGACTGTGGGATCATGAGAGGGGAAGGTAGGAAAAGGGTTGGCTGGGATGGACTAGGACCGAAAAGTTACAGAAAGGAGGCTGTGTGCAGTGGCTTGTGCCTGTAATCCCACCCCTTTGGGAGGCTGAGGCAGGAAGATCGCTTGAGGCCAGGAGTTAGAGATTAGCCTGGGCAAGATGATGAGACCCTGTCTCTATGAAAAACTAAAAAATTAGCGGCATACAGTGGCACATACCTGTAGTCCCAGCCACTCTGGCAGCTAAGGTGGGAGGATCCCTTGAGCCCAGGAATTCAAGGCAGCAGTGAATGGTGATTGTACTACTGTACTGGAGTTGTACAATTTGTGGCCTGGGCCACAAATCAAGTCCTTATTTCTAAAAAATTAAAAAAAAAAAAAAGGTGACAGATTGGAAATAAGAATGAAAAACATCAGTTGGCTTCATTAGAAGTACGAACCTTAAGATTTTTAAAACACATGAAAACACTTTGGCAAATAAGGAATCTCTAGCTCTAAAAATAGATACTAGGCAATAGCACTTATTGAGTGTTAGGTGTCCTAACTGCTGGCTGTCCAGAGGAAATATGTGGAAGTGGAGCACAAAACAGGCAAGTAATGTCATGTGATTAATTTTAAGAGAGCTAAGCATAGAGTGCAGAGGGTCACCTAACCCAAATCAAGCTAAGCTTGTATGGGAAGATATTCTGAAAGAAGAGACATTTGATCTTCGTTTTGAAAGACAGATAGTAATAGAGCAGGTGAAGAAGGGCAGGGAAGAGTGCTTAAAGTTGAAGGAATAGCATGTACAAAGACAGAAGCAAGACAGCACAGTGTATTTAGGGAACTGCAGGTATGTGTCGGTGTGGCTTGAGAATAGACTAAGGATTAATGGGGAGGGACAAGCAAAGATGCTAAAGAAGTAATGTGAGATCTTGAATGTGAGGTTATGAAGGATCTTATAAGCTATACTGGTAAGTTTACATTATCCTGGAGGCAGCGGGTAATCTCTGAAGGATTTAAGTGGAAAAGTAGTATGATGATATTTGGGATCTAGAATGATTGCTTTTCGTGACCTTGTGGGAGGTATATAGCAAGTAGGGAGATCTCTTAAGGCGTCTTTGAAGTACTTTGGGCCAGAAATGAAGAAGGCGTAAACTGAAGAGATGGCAAGAGAGGAAGATTTTTGAGAAAGGTTTAGAAGATATGCTTGGCTGGATTGGTAATTGGTAGGTAAGGGAGAAAGAGGAGTGAAGAATGATCCTTAGGTTTTGGCCTGGATGTCTTAGATTGGATTCACTGGTATGAAGAGATTAAATTGTTCCTCACTTTCTAAGTACAAAACAAGTATAATCACAAATTATGCCAAAATGGTTTTAAAAGTTAGAAATGAGAAATGTCAATAACTGTTATTTCTAAAGTGAGGTACTGAGAGATTTTCTAATTGCCTGCCTTGATAGTCCCTAGAAGATGGTGGTAAATTCCCATTTTTTCTGGGTCAAATTAGGTGTGGTCCACTTAGATGCTAAGGGAAAAATTTACCTCTTCTTAGCATTCACCTGTGTAAAGAGAGATAAATCTGAGTCTAATTTATTTTTCACTATAGGTGATGAAGATGGTAATGACCTTAACAGCTGTGGAGTCTGGCTGTATCCATTACGTCAAGCGACCTGGAGCAGCTCTTGACCCTGGCTGTGTACTAGCCAGAATGCAACTGGACAACCCCAGCAAGGTTCAGCAGGTGGGTTAGGAAGATGCTCCGAATTTTGCTCTCTAAGAGCTAAAGAACTTGGTGGTTTGGAGAGAGGCAAGTGATTTCAGTGCTTGGTTTGCCAGTGTTTTCTTTAGCTTTTTCGCCTATTAATCTTATGCCTTGTATTTGTACCTGTAGTATTATGGAACTAAGAGTTTGCAAGAGTTACTGTAATACTAAGATTCCGTAATTTCCTTATGATGTTTCCTCCATTGACTTCCCTTCTGGTAGCTGGGTATGGTAAAATGATGTCTCCATTTTGAATGATAACTCTTAAGTTGTAGTGGTGTGTTTGTACCTTAGATCAAAAGTAGTAGATGACTTGATCTCTTGTTGGGGTTGATAGGCTGAGCTTCACACAGGTAGTCTGCCACGGATCCAGAGCACGGCACTCAGAGGCGAGAAACTGCATCGAGTGTTCCATTATGTCCTGGATAATCTGGTCAACGTAATGAATGGATACTGCCTTCCAGATCCTTTCTTTAGCAGCAAGGTATGAATCACGTCTCCTGGGGAAGGGGTGTACAAATGGGATACCTATTCTCCAAAATAGTTGCAAGTCTCATAATGATTGTTTAAGAGGGAGGAAAAGAAAGCTGTTTGGCCTGGAACTCTTTCACCTTCAGTTGTGGGACTTGAGGTCTTTAAATCCATCCTTGTCATGGACTTCACATTTAATTGTGATTACTCCTTTTTTTTTTTTTCCCTCCAGACTGAGTCTTGCTCTGTTGCCCAGGCTGGAGTGCAATGGCGCAAACTCAGCTCACTGCAACCTCCACCTCCTGGGTTCAAGCAATTCTCCTGCCTCAACCTCCTGAGTAGTGGGGATTACAGGCACACGCCACCAGGCCCGGCTAATTTTTTTCTTTTTTCTTTTTAATAGAGGCAAGGTTTCACCATGTTGGCCACACTGGTCGTGAACTCCTGACTTTGTGATCTGCCCGCCTCAGCCTCCCAAAGTGCTGGGATTATAGGCGTGAGCCACTGTGCCCAGCCGTGATTACACCTTTTTAAACTGGAGAATAGGGGCAATGTTAGATGCTTACATTGCAATTTCAAAGTACTCTATGATAGTTGGCTCACATCTGTAATCCCACCACTTTGGGAGGCTGAGTTGGAAAGATCACTTGAGGCCAGGAGTTTGAGACCAGCCTGACCAACATAGCGAGACCCCATATCTATTGAAAATTATATAAATTTTATATTGAAAAGAAGTAGTATATGATAGTGAATTCAGATATAGTTTACTCTTGAGCAACACAGGTTTGAACTGTGTGGGTCCACTTATATGTGGATTTTTTCAGCCAAACGTGGATCAAAATTATAGTATTGATGGAATATGGAGCCCACAACTTTTTCTATACGTGGGTTCTGTAGGGCTCAAGTATGTGCACATTTTCATATGAGTGGTGGTTCTGGAACCAATTTCCCACGTATACGGAATGACAACTATGTATCTTTTTATTTGGGGGATTGTGTTAACTTTGGGTCCTATTTTACCAATGCTTTCTTTTTAGGTAAAAGACTGGGTAGAGCGATTGATGAAAACCCTCAGAGATCCCTCCCTGCCTCTCCTAGAATTGCAAGATATCATGACTAGCGTGTCTGGCCGCATTCCCCCCAATGTGGAGAAGTCTATCAAGAAGGAAATGGCTCAGTATGCTAGCAACATCACATCAGTCCTCTGTCAGTTTCCCAGTCAGCAGGTATTTATAGAATAACACTATCTTCATTTTTTTCTGGCTACCAATGCCAGAGTTCATATTGTAGGATTCCTTCCTATTTGGATCCTCCTTATTTTTTGGATGTTGTAGTTGTATACTTTTAAGCATTGTATTCCTCACAAAACTGCCTCAGGGTTGCGCCACTGCACTCCAGCCTGGGGGACAGAGCAAGACTCCGTCTCAAAAAAAAAAAAAAAAAACTGCCTCAGGGTACAAAGCCAACAGTGAAAGTACTGTATGTGAAGTATAAAGTATCTGTAGTTATGAGAAAAGCATACTTGGATCATGTATACCATATAGCTTTTTTTCCTGGGGCTATTCCCTAATTCCCTAATTAGAGGTATCTTCATGAATTGAAAGTAGAGTGATATTAGTTGATTGATTGATTGATTGATTTAGAGACGGAGTCTAGCTCTGTTTCCAGGCTGGAGTGCAGTGGCGTGATCTCAGCTCGCTGCAACCTCTGCCTCCTGGGTTCAAGCAATTCTCCTGCCTCAGCCTCCTGAGTAGCTAGGATTACAGGCACACGCCGCCATGCCAGCTAATTTTTGCATTTTTAATTGCCATGGGGTTTCACCACGTTGGCCAGGATGGTCTCGATCTGACCTCGTGATCCGCCCACTTTGGCCTCCCAAAGTGCTGGGATTACAGGTGTGAGCCACTGTGCCCAGCTGTTTATTTATTTATTTTTGAGACAGGGTCTCACCCTGTCACCCAGACTGGAGTGCAGTGGTGCAATCATATGGCTCGCTATAGCCTTGACCCCAGTAGGCCCAATGGCTCATCCCATCTCAGCCTCCCAAGTAGCTGGGACTACAGATGTGCACCACTATGCCCAGCTAATATTTTAAAAAATTTTATAGAGATGGGGATCTTGTTACGTTGCCCAGGTTGGTATTGAACGCCTGGGCTCAACCTTTCCTCCCTCCTTGGCCTCCCAAAGTGCTGAGGTTACAGGTGTGAGCCACCATGCATGGCCTATTTGTAGTTTTATTTTTAGAGACATTCTTACTACCTTGGCAACATCTTTACTCTTTACCCATAAAGCAGAAGTACGTGTAGGGAGTATAAGTAGATAAGTGGGGAGTGAAGTTTGGATCTTGACCTTGAACAGATCTTGGTAAGATGATAGTTTTTGTAATGTAGTCATTAATTCATCTGGGAAAGGTTGACAAGGGATGAAATCTGCTTGCTTATTTAGCATGATCCTCTATATAAACTCTGCCCAGTAACTTCCAGCTACTGCCAACATGTCAGAGATAGGAATTGGCATGTTATAGCAAGAAGATTCCTACTGGTCATGCTATAGAGGCTGATGCTTTGGGGCATTTTGTTGGGTTGGGCCTCATTTTTTTCCCTTTTTTATACCTTAGATTGCCAACATCCTAGATAGCCATGCAGCTACATTGAACCGGAAATCTGAACGGGAGGTCTTCTTTATGAATACTCAGAGCATTGTTCAGCTGGTACAGAGGTAGTAACTTGTAACTCCAGATTCCCAGACCTGTCCATGCTCATGTCTTCCTTTCTTTTAAGTGGTCACAAAGAGATTTACCTCAGATTGACTTCAAGAAATTAAAAAGCACCTTATATCTTAGAAAGTACCTTGTATCTTCTAAATATCTTAGAATTGTGAGCTAACTCTTATGCTCAATATTTCTGACTTCTTAATATTCTACATTTTTTTTCTGTCAATTATTTAGTATTATTATTATTATTTGTGACAGGGTCTCACTCTGTTGCCCCGGCTGGAGTGCAGTGGCTCAATAACGGCTCACTGCAGCCTCAACCTCCCGAAGCTCAGGTGATCCTCCTGTTTCAACCCCTTGGAATAGCTGGGACTACAGCTGTGCACCACCACGACCAGCTAATTTTTATATTTTTGGAAGAGGTGGGGTTTTGCACGTTACCCAGGCTCATCTCAAGCTCTTGGGCTCAAATGATCCACCTGCCTCAGCCTCCCAAACTGTTGGGATTACAGGCATGAGCCACTGCATCCAGTTTGTCAATTAATAAGGCACAGAAATTTTGTTGTTTTCTTTTTCCTTGCCATTTTGATGAAGCTCCTAATTTTTCTTCTGTCAGAGGGCCCAGTACGACATTTTTTATTCTTATCTTATGGAACCTATTGTATTAGGTTGGTGCAAAAGTAATTGTGGTTGTTGCTATTAATACTGAAGGGATACTCACAGAGCATTTTTATTTATTTATGTATTTATTAGAGACAGGGTCTCACACTGTCACCCAGGTTGTAGTACAGTCGCACAGTCTCAGCTCACTGCAACCTCTGCCTCCTAGGCTCAAGCAATACTCCCACCTCAGCCTCTTGAGTAGCTGGGACTACAGGCACACGCTACCATGCTTGGCTAATTTTTTTGTATTTTTTGTAGATAAGAGGTTTTGCCATGTTGCCTAGGCTGGTCTGGAGCCCGTAGACTCAAGTGATCCTCCTGCCTTGGCCTCCCAAAAGGGGTCTGGGATTACAGATGTGAGCTATGGCGCCCGACCTCACAGAACACTTTTAACTTTAAGATACTTATAAATTTTTCAGATATCTCAGCCATTTCACGAGTACGGTAATAATTTCTACTTAGCAGTAGGAACTGAGTCAAGGTGTTGGTAGAGGGGGCTATGCAGGGTGTTGTTGTCTTTTCTTTATTAAAAAAGGTCTTGTCTATAGTGAGATTTCTTTTAGGCTTAGAATTTAAGTTAATTTTGTAGTTCATTTTAGGCTGTTCTTTATTCAGAGGGAAAGCAGTTCAGTGGAATGTCATGGAGGTAAATTTGACCTTTGGGTTTATTACTTAATAGTGTTGGATTGTCAGGGTTTTCAGTGGAGGCTTTCTATTTGCCTAGGTACCGAAGTGGCATCCGAGGCCACATGAAGGCTGTGGTGATGGATCTGCTCCGGCAATACCTGCGAGTAGAGACACAATTCCAGAATGGTAAGCCTCTTCCTGAGGACTCTCTAGCCCAGAAAGCCTTGATTCTGATAACCAACCCAAACTATCCATATAGGACTGTGTAAGAGCTAAGCCCCCTCCTGTCAACAACACTTCCATTAATAAACAGTCTCCTATCACCACTCTCTTAAAAACTAAACCTCTATATCCACTAGCACTAAAGAAAGAACAACGAAACACAGCTTGATGAAATTAGGAATCCAGTGTGCTTCTGAGAAAGGGCTGAAGTAATTTTTCTAATAGAGACTACCATTCCTGTTGATACCTTTTTGACCTTGTATAGTGTAAGTTGGTTGAGTCATCACAGGCTGAAATTGAGAAACCCATATCTGAAGAGCTTGATTCTTGGCAGCTAATCCATGAATTGAACCAGAGGCATCTAGGAAGAGCAAGTTCAGATTTTCCAGTACTTTTTAGTATATCTTTTAGGTGGACTTTATCCCTGGCTTTCTCTGAAGAGCTTCACTAAATGATGTATTGTCTCTAAGTGTGAAATAACCTTGGTTAAAATTTTAAAGCTGTGTACTGCTGACATTGCTTCCTGCCACAAGATGGCAGTGAAACATCATAGAATTTGAAACATCTAAAATTTGAAATTTTCCTTTATCTGCTCCTTTTCACTTCCTTTAAAAGCAGCCTGTGCCACTCATGACTAGCAAAAATCCTCATGTAGATATTAGCAAACCGCATGCAGTAACATACAAAATAATACATAACAACCAAGTTGGCTTTATCCCACTCATGCAAGGTTGATCCGTTTGGGGAAAGTCAATTAATATAATTTATCATGAAATAGATGAAAGGAGGAAAAACATGCTCATTATCTCAAGATAACAGGGTGTAGAGAGGGAGCATTTGACAGAATTTAACATCCATTCATGACAAACTCTTGGAAACTAGGAGTGAAATGGAACTTTTAAAATCTTGTAAAAGGGACCCACAAAAAAATCTGCAGGATACATCATGCATTATGGTGAAACGCTGAAAACATTATCTTTAAGATTAGAAATAAGACAAGGATGCCTGCTGCCACTACTTCTATTCAGCATCATAGTGGATGTCCTAGCCAGTGCAGTAAGACAAGGCAAAGAATTAAAGGGTGTAAGAGCTAGAAAATAGTAAAGTAATATATCTGCTATTATTAAATATGTAGGGTGTCTTTTTAGAAAGCCTCAAAGGATTCACAGATTTATTATTAAGTTATTAAAAAAACATTTAAAATAACAGGCTAGATGTAGTGGCTCACGCTTGTCATCTTAGCACTTTGGGAGGCAAGGACAGGAGGATTGCTTGAGACCAGGAATTTGAGACCAACCTGGGCATCATAGTGAGACCCCATCTCTCCAAGAAATTAAAAACAATTAGCCAGGCATGGTGGCACATACCTATAGTCCTACCTACTCAAGAGACTGAAATAAGAGGATTGCCTGAGCCCAGGGTTTCAAGGGTGTGGTGGGCTATGATTGCACCACTGCACTCAGCCCAGGCAACAGAGCAAGACCCTGTCTCTAAATAATTAATTAGTTGATAAAATAGCAACCAAAAAGATGAAATACGAGTAAATCTAACAAAAAACATGCAAGCCTCTTTTCGAGAAAATTATAATCAAGAAGATTGTAATAGTAAAGAAGATTTAAATAAATTATCAAGGTCTTAAATTGGAATGTACACTATTAGGTGCTGATTCTTCCTAAATTCATCTGTAGATTGACATTTCAATAAAAATTCTGTTAGCGTATTTGTAATGCTAATTATAAAATTTCCATAAAAGACAAGTCTCACAATAATCAAGATACTTCCAAAGAAATACAAGGTGAAAAGATTTGCCTAATCAGAAAAGAAGATTTAATATAAAGCCATATTAATTAAGAAATTGTGAGATAGGTATAGGGATAGATTTATAGATCAGTGGAACATAATGACCCAGAAACAGATCCACCCATATATGAAAACTTATTTTATGATAGAGGAAGCATTGTAGATCATGAGGAAAGGACAGATTTTTTTTTTTTCAATAAATGATACCAGCGTAATGGGTTATTCATTAAAAAAAAAAAAAAAGGAAAGAAAGAAATGGAATCCCTATCTTATGCACCAAAATCAGTTCTCAATAAAATAAAGACTTAAATATGTACTAAAGAGGTGAAGCTATTAAATGGTTAGGAGAATATCATTATAATCTCAGGATAGGAAGATTTTGTTGTATAAGACGTAGCAAGTACAAACTACAAAAGAAAAGATTTATTACTTAAACTCCACTCAAGAACTTCTGTTCATCAAAATACATCATAAGAAGACTGAAAAGTCTGTAATCCTAGCACTTTTGGAGGCCAGTGCTGGCAGATTGCTTGAGCCCAGAAGTTTGAGATCAGCCTGGACAACATAGCAAGACCCCATCTCTAAAAAAATACACAAAAATTAGCCAGGTGTGGTGGTGTGTGTGCCTGTAGTCCTAGCTTCTTGGGAGGCTCAGGTTGGAGGATCACCTGAGCCTGGGGAGGTCGAGGCTGCAGTGAGCCGTGATCACATCACTGCAGTCCAGCCCCAGTGACAGAGCAGGACCCCGTCTCCAAAAAAAGAGAGACTGAAAATATAAGCTACAAAGTGTGAGAAGATATTTACAAAATCTATACCTAAAAAAGAATTAGAAGTATCTAGAGAACTGGTAGGAATCATCAAGTTAAAGACATCCTAATAGAAAAATGGGTAAAAGATATAGAAAGCTATTTTACAGAAGAGAAAGTACAAAGAATTCATCAACTTACACAAAGATGCTCAATCCCATTAGTAATTAGAGACATATGAACCAAAACCACAATGGGAGTGGCAAAAATTTAAAAGTCACATCATCATCTTCATTGCTTCTGTACATGGAAGTACAAATTGGTATACCACTTTGGGTAACAGTTGGTCAGTACCTAATAAAGTTGAACATATTTGTATTCTTTAACCTAGTAATTTTACTCCTAGAAAATATACCCTAGAGAAACTATTACACGTGTTTACTAGGAGACATATATAGGACTATTTGTGACAGCACTGTTCATAATCTCAAAAAAGACAAGAAACAATCTAAATATACATAGATAGAGTAGATCATTGCAGTCTAGTATATTCCTACCATGGTTGACTATGCAGCAGTGAAAATGGATGCACCAAGGCATACACTGAACAGAAGGATGAATCTCAAAAATACAATGTTATGGAAAATAAACGGTACAGTCATTCCATTTTTTTCAAGTTCAGAAACCAGGAAAATTAAGCTGTACATACATTGGTGATAAAAGTTAAGAAAAGCAAAAGAATAATTAACATAAAATTCAGCTTAGTAGTTGTTTTTGAGGAGGGGTACACAGGGGTCTTCAAAAATACTAAAGATGTTCTATTAAAATTTAATAGCTTTAAAATAACACATGGGTGTTTATTTCAATTGATACCATATATTCTATATATTCTTCTGTATATATATTTCATAATTAAACTGTTTTGTGTGTGTGTGTGTTCTTCTTCTTTTTTTTTTTTGAGATGGAGTCTTATTCTGACACCCAAGCTGGAGTGCAGGGGCACAATCTCTGCTCATTGCAACTTCCGCCTCCTGGGTTCCAGCAATTCTTCTGCCTCAGCCTCCTGTGTAGCTAGGATTATAGGTGTGTACCATCACGCCTGGCTAATTTTTGTATTTTTAGTAGAGACGGGGTTTTACCCTGTTGGCCAGGCTGGTCTCAAATGCCTGACCTCAAGTGATCCACCCGCCTTGGCTGCCCAAAGTGCTGGGATTACAGGGGTGAGCCACTGCACCCAGCCAACTAAACATTTTTTAAAAAGAGTGTCTTGGTGTGCAGGATCTTCAAAGTAAAAAAAAAAAAAAGAAAAAAAAATCATTGTTTTCTTTCTGTTAATGTCTCCCCTCACCCTGGGTGAATGTGTTCCTTTTATTTCCCCTGGTCCTATTGCCAAAGTTTATTTGTGTTGTCACTTCAAAGCTAAGTCTTGGTAGAGAAAAATATTAATACAGAACAGCTAATTTTTAAACAGCTTCCCTTTTGGTCTAAATGTGTCTTTTATGAAATTGGCAGCTCTCTCAATATTGTAGTCCATTGTTTTTCAAATATAGTTTTATTTGGAAAAAAGTTGCTTATGTCAATCTCTAATATTTAGAATAGTTAAAAGCCTGGTTACACTGGTCCAATGTACTCAGTATTCTAGGAAACCACGGTAATGCAGTTTGAACGCCACTGTTCTGGTTTGTAACTTAACGTGGAATCTGAACTGAGGTGATAATCCTTTACTGTTTTCGTGATTTCATAAAATTCTGACCCTTGAGCATATTCAAACACTAATTCCTCTTTCCTTGGAAATTTAGTTCTGAGGTAAGCTGTTTTCTAAAGAACTGAATATTACTTATATCCCATGGCAGATATCACTACAGTGTACCAGAGGCTTATGCTTCTGTTGTAAAACATAGCTTTCCTACTCAGAACTAACCTGCCCCTGGTGGCCTTATGGAAGGCAAGTGAAGATATGCATAACTTTAGTCTCCCTATAGACCTTTTGACTTAATGCACGGTTCTCTTTGATCTATACCTTGGGTTGGATTTGGCGTTCCTAGGCATTGCTTAGCTGTTTCAAGGACTAACAGAAGAAAATATTGATTCCAGGGGTAGTAGCCACACTTCTCATGGATATTGCTAAGTTTGATGTGGTTTTATTTTTTGAGCTAAAACTGTTCCTACTGGTTAGGGTAAACTGTTTTCTGCAACATGGAATCAGAATCTCAGGCTCTGGGGGAGACCTTAAAGATCATCAAGTTTAATGATATTTACATTTCTTTTTAAACAGCAGAAATTTCTCTTCTAAAGAAATCATGACAGGTTAGAGTAAGACTGGGGTTGGAGTTATTCCCAATCTTTCAGTCTTTGAGGCATACCCACCTCCCCAATTTTTAAAAAATTTAATAAAATTGAGGCCCAGAGAAGTGAAATGATTTGCCCAGGAGCACACAGTAAATTGCTAACGGAGCTAGGCCTTGAACCCAGATCTTATATCCAAATTGCCTAACTCCTAGTCCGGTGTTCTTTTACTAAATCACATTGCCAGTTTCTGTACAAATCCATCCAAGAAAATCCTTACGATGTTTCTTCTTACTGCTCATCTCATAAATTATAGACAGTACAAAACAAATAGCATGTAAATGTGAACATTTATACATGGGTGAGAACCAGTTCTTTTCATGGCGTGCAGGTCACTATGACAAATGTGTATTCGCCCTCCGGGAAGAGAATAAAAGTGACATGAACACTGTACTGAACTACATCTTCTCTCACGCTCAAGTCACCAAGAAGAATCTTCTGGTCACAATGCTTATCGTGAGTACCATTTTTCAGAACTCGTAAGGACTGTCGATGATATGCAAAAGGTATTTTTTCCTTCTGATGGCTGTGGTCAGAGAAAAAAACTATTGCCTTTTATAATTATGGGATGAGTGGGACTTGAGCTGTAAACTAACAGTTTCTCACATCTACCTTTGTCCTTGGTCTGAAGGAACTGCTTTAGTGAGAAAAGGACTCTTTTGGCTATTATGCATATGCTCCTTCACAGGGCCTTACACCTCCTAACTCTGTTTAGAAATAACCCATGCTTCACCATTCCTGTGGTCCTCTTGACGGCAGCTTTAAAATTTCATCTTATTTATCCAATATACTCTAATTTTAACTCTTGTTCCATAGATGCAAGCAATGGCTCTCATGTCAAACCTGAAAAGAAAAAAAATAGAAATCCAGCACTACCCCTCCCTGACCAGAGGAATTTTAATGTATTCTGCATCTTCATTGGTCCCTTTTTATTTACATTGAAAATCTAAGCTCAGATTATTGCATTGGTAGTAAATGTAAATGTATGATTTTTTTTCTCCATAACTTAGTAATATAAGAATTAGTAGGAAGTAGGAATGGGGAGTGAGCCTGGTAAGTTTGATGAGAGCTAATGTGCATTTGGCCAGTGGGTGGAATTTTTGTGGGCTGAAGGATTTTTAAAGATGACTTGCAAGTCCTTCACTCCTAGCTCATTCTGGTTGAGTTACTTGTAGGCATTAGTATAGTAGGACTATTCCTAGAGTCCCTCACCCCATGGTCCTGAGCATTTGCCTTGCTGCTGCTTGCTTGTCTTTTTGGGGACTATAGTGCCTTTTCACTCCCAGAGTTTTCTTTCTTGTCCCTTTATGGAATTGGGATTCTTGGTACGTTAATTACATCATTTTTTCATGGAGGAAAAAAACATACATCTTCATAGCTATTTTTTTATTTCATACTTCAGAATGAAGGGAAACTATCTACCATATACCTCTGATTAACAAGAGTGCCGCTCATTCAGTTATCTGCCTAGCTGGTTAACTCTAAAGCATATAACATTTTTTAGAATAGCCACTTAAAAAAATACGTAATTATAGGGAGAGTTCATTGCCTTTGCTACCCCAGAATGACTAGATAGTGAGAAAACAAGAAGATGCATTTGAGTCGGAAAAAATATACATTAGTACAATGTAATACTTCAGCTTCCCCTAAGTGACAGGTTTCAGCTAAGAAATGATATAATCTATGGCAACTTGCTAATTTTTTTTGTCAGTCAAAAGAAGGAAGAAGGACTATTTAGATTTTTTTTAATTTAATGAAAAGATTGTTTAATCTTATTTTGATAAAGCCAAGACTTTCTGGCAGAAAAGGGTAATGAGGAGAAGGGTAAAAGAATCTGTCAGTTTGGACCTAGAATGGGGTGGAATTTGCCTTTATAGGAAGCTAATTATGGTGAGTTTTTCTTTTTATTGTGATTATGTTTTTAAGAACTTAACAGTTTTCTGCACTAAAAATAGACCAAAGCCTAGAATCCTTAGAGCAGCAGAAGAGTAATGATTGTCCAAGACTGTCGCTGGGTTTCTTAAATTCTAATTTGTAAGATATAGGGGCTCAGCTCGCTCCTTTTGCGGAGTGATTGTAAGTAACGCTTGCCTTAAGAATCTCATTATTGGAACACGGAGCCATATTTCCTCTGAGAATTCTGGAGTAGCTTTGAGCCGGGGCTGTTCATTTCTCAAGTAATCACGCTGGTGTGATGGAGAGAGAAAATGGCAGCTGTTCGGAGCTCAGGCCTTCAATTTTCTTCAGAGTCCAGTCACTCAAGTGTGTAATTACACGGGGGGTGCTGCAGAGGCGTTGGGCCCTGTCAGAGAACTGGTTTGAGGCTTTGCTTTCTGCTTTTGCCAGTCAGGACAGGCAGAAGCCAATGGGACTCTGACTTTCTGCTGTTCTTTTTTCCTCCCACCTTGTCATCCTGATTACTTCTTACCTGCATGGATAGTACCCAAACTTTCTTTCCAACAGGCTGAGCTCTTTAGAGAAAAGAGCTGTTTCAGAGTTTGAGTTTGGGTAAATAGGATGCAGGAGGAGGAGGAGGAGGAGGAGGAGGAGGGGAACGAGGAGAGGAGGAGGATAAGGACGGTTGAACATGTGAACCAGGAAGCCAGATTTGTCCTATTCTTTATTTTGGTGTCATTACCTTTTTCTTTAAAAACAAAAACAAAATGAGACCCAGTAAACGTAAGAGGATCTGTAAGCTTTCGTGTCATTAATTTCTTTTCAAATATCAGTTGTTTTCATTTCATCTTAGAGATTTGGAAATCAAGCTCAGGGCCAGCTAGCAGTGACTTACGAAACATGGGTAAAAGCTCAGGACGGTGCTCTTTTCTGATCTGATGTTACTGAATGCCAGACATGTCTTCCTCTTTTCCTCTTTGACAATGCTTAGCTGCTCCCCCTTCCTCCTTCCTCTCCGTTCCTTCTTCTCTCCCTCCTCCTCTCCCACATCTGCATTAATGGTAGTAGCTGGTAGGAGCCATTTTGGTTGTTTGGATTATTCTTTCCTCTGATCTTAGTGTCTTTTACAGATGTCGCCTGCACATGGTAGCACTTCGATTCCCCCAACTTGCGTTCTCTGCTGGTTCCCCTTTCTTTGCATATCTTGGCTTCTTGATTGATGGTTATGTGCCCAGCATTCGATTCTCTGCTTTCTAGAAGTAGGAATGTTGATAGTATGTTTTGCTGAGCTAGATGATGATTTCTGGGGCTTTTTTATTTTTTATTTTTTTATTTTTTTTGAGACGGAGTCTGGCTCTGTTGCCCAGGCTGGAGTGCAGTGGCCGGATCTCAGCTCACTGCAAGCTCCGCCTCCCGGGTTCACGCCGTTCTCCTGCCTCAGCCTCCCGAGTAGCTGGGAGTACAGGCTCCCGCCACCTCGCCCGGCTAATTTTTTTTGTATTTTAGTAGAGACGGGGTTTCACCGTGTTAGCCAGGATGGTCTCGATCTCCTGAACTCGTGATCCGCCCCTCTCGGCCTCCCAAAGTGCTGGGATTACAGGCTTGAGCCACCGCGCCCGGCCGATTTCTGGGGCTTTTGAACCTACAGAGAGGGAGGTATCAAGAAAATCAGGCTTCCGTCAGTGTCATGGGATATGTGCTTCTCTAGTAAAGAGGTACCTTCATCTTCTCTAGGTGTTAGCATAACTTGCCCAGTGGTAACTTGCCTCAAGGACTCTCAAGCAAATTTCTGGTAATCTTTCACTCTGTTTGGAAAGCAAAGTATCAGGTAAAAGGCTAAAGTCCTATCAGGTTTCCTCCGTTTAAAGGGACATTGTAACACAATGTAACACAAAGTCTGGAAGACCAATAGTACATTTATTTTTTGAAAGCTCTTCTTATTTCTTAAATTTAACTTTATAGGAAAAAGTTTAGGACTCAGAACATTGTTTATGTTTGCTTAGAGATATTTAAGGAACTCTTTAATCTTTAGCCAGATTAAGCTAATTGGTACAAATACAAAATATCAACATCTTCACAGCTGTCTAGATGGCAATGTACGTATCTTCTAGCCACCTTGATGGTAAGTAGTCTTCCCCTCACTGCTTATAACTTATTTTTGATACAGCCCACATGAACATGCTGTAAACCATGCTTCCGTATGAGTAATGCCATGCATATGAACCCCTGATTTGGTTTAGATGGGGAGAATTTATAATGCTGATCAGCACCTTTCCTTCCTCCACTTAACCTGACTGCAAATAATTTTGTCCAATGTGTAAATAAAGAAGAAGTCTTTCTCAGTGATTCCACATTCACTGAATAAGGGTGATATTAACAATTTCTTGTTAAACTTACCCTATGACATTTTTTGGGATGTCAAAAAGTGCAGGTATGATTAGAAGCAGCTACCAGTTCATTGCTGATACTAGGTTTAGTGCCTACCCAGCTGAACAATAGTTAATGTCTTGAGGACATTACACATAAGGTCACATTCTTTTCGTTTTGAATTGCCTTATAAGATCAAGCTGGACTATGTTGGTTTCTTCTGTCAGTCAGCTGTGTAACTTTGGCTGTGCCTTTTTTTTTTTTTTAAATTAAACATGTGGTCTCACTATGTTGCCTGGGCTGCTGTCAAACTTCTGTGCTCAAATGGTCTTGGCCTCCCAAAGTGCTGGGGCTACAGGCATGAGCCACTGTGCCCAGCCTTGGCTATGGGTTTAACATTTTATCATGTTTGTTGTATTTCTGCAAATTCAAACTATTTTCTATAGTTAGCTACCATCTAGGTCAAAAGTAAAAGCAAGAAATAACTGTTCTGTACCAGTATGGCTGAATAATAATTTTCACTTCGTTTTATGACTCTGGACAGTTGGAACAGACCTTTGGTTGGTGGATTGGGAAGCCAGATTTTTGCAAGTGACCTGTAATCCCAAAATCAGCAGGTTGGCTCTTTAAACAAACTTTTTATGTTGACTAAACAAATCTGCTGACCTAGACACCATCTAAAGGTATTGTTACAAAATGTTCATCAGGATTAGATGGTGATGTTGGTTTGTCCAGTTGCCCAAAAGAAACCTGTCTCTAGAACAGAGGGTAATCAACTTCCTGTTGGATGTTAGTTGGCATCTTAGGATGGGTGGTTCTGAAAAACCCTGATGTTTTCTTTCAGAACCTGAATGCTGTGTCTAGGTCAAGGGCAAGACAGGATTGAGAAAGTTATTCTACACATAATTTTCTGTTGCCAGTTTTTTCCTAAGTATTCATGATGACAGTGGAGAAAATATTTGAATGGAAAACTTCCAAGTCAGAATAGACTAATGAAAATAGTGGTTAACTCATACTGTGTTTGATAATTACTTCACATTTATTTATTTATTTATTTATTTATTTATTTATTTATTTATTGAAATGGAGTTTCGCTCTTGTTGCCCAGGCTGGAATGCGATGGCGCAATCTTGGCTCACCACAACCTCTGCTTTCTGGGTTCAAGCGATTCTCCTGCCTCAGCCTCCTGAGTAGCTAGGATAACAGGCATACACCACTGCGCCCAGTTAATTTTGTATTTTTAGTAGAGACAGGGTTTCTCCATGTTGGTCAGGCTGGTCTTGAACTCCTGACCTCAGGTGATCCGCACACCTTGGCCTCCCAAAGTGCGGGGATTACAGGTGTGAGCCAAAGCACCCGGCCTTATTTATTTATTTATTTTATTTTAATTTTGTTTTATTTTATTTTATTTTATTTTATTTTATTTTATTTTATTTTAATTTTGAGATGGAACTTTACTCTTGTTGCCCAGGTTGGAGTACAATGACGCGATATCGGCTCACTGCAACCTCCACTTCCTGGGCAGTTCTCCGGCCTCAGCCTCCCAAATAGCCGGGATTACAGGCATGCGCCACCACACCCGGCTAATTTTTTGTATTTAGTAGAGACGGGGTTTCACCGTGTTGGTCAGGCTGGTCTCGAACTGACCTCAGGTAATCCACGTACCCCGGCCTCCCAAAGTGCCGGGATTACAGGCGCGAGCTACCACGCCCGGCCCACATTTATTTTTTCTAATCTCCATAGTTCACTTTTCTTACAGATACTGTTGCTTCTTCCCAAAGCCCTTTTTTACTCCCTTTCTCTCATAATGGAAAGATAAAATGAAAAGTGGTTTTTAAAAAAGTGGTTTTGTGTGTTTTGCTTTGTTTTGTCTTTTAAGTTAGAATATGATCTGTAACTATGCAGGAGGGTAACTCCATTTTTAAAAATTTTAGTTTAATCTCGAAAGGTAAACCTATATGTCCTTTAAAGGGAATGCATTCCATATCAAATCTGATATGGTTGCGGAGGTGATTAGTGTTATTTTGTCATGTTGGCTTTTGTTTTTATTATTTATTTATTTATTTATATTTTTATTTTTTTGAGACGGAGTCTCCCTCTGTCACCCAGGCTGGAGTGCAGTGGTGCGATCTCGGCTCACTGCAACCTCCGCCTCCCGGGGTCAAGCAGTTCTCTGCCTCAGCCTCCTGAGTAGCAGGGATTACAGGTGTGTGCCACCACGCCCAGCTAATTTTTGTATTTTTAGTAGAGACAGGGTTTTGCCATCTTGGCCAGGCTGGTGTTGAACTCCTGACTTCATGATCCACCTGCCTCGGCCTCCCAAAGTGCTGGGATTACAGGCGTGAGCCACCGTGCCCGGCCGGCTTTTGTTTTTAATGTTGAGACTTCAGTCTGGCTTTGTACAGAGGAGCTGAGTTGTGGCATTACCCAGTACACTTCTTATGTTTTTAGGCCTTTTAGTGGGTCATTCCAATGCTTTTAGTAAGTACCTCGGAAAGGAGTATGTTTGCTCTATTAAGAACATTAGGAAAGGGACTTAGGTAGGAAAAAATTATCTTGGTTTCCCTACCCACTGTTATCTATCAATTCTTTCCTTGTGTCTTTCTATGGTCCTGTTTCTGGTAGTTTTACATATTCCTTTGAAATTCTGTTTTGCTCATTAGTTCTCAGCAAAAGGTAAGAGTTACTTGCATTTTCTTTCTCCTCTTTGCTTTTATGCCTAGGATAGGTAGAACAGATCCTCTAATCTGTGCTGCCTGTTCAATCAAACCTCTGGGTTTATCTTCACTTTAATAGCAGCTTTTATTTTTCTCACTCAGATGAGTGAATTATCTGGGTTAAATGGGTGAAAACAGTAGTACTTGCACTTCCTTAATTATAAACCCCATCATATGTTTTATGACTCTGGACAGTCAGAGCAGACCTCTCCTTGGTGGATTAGGGAACCAGAATCTCATTATATCATTTTCTTTAAAAAAAAAAAAAAAAAAAGCTTTGAGAAACCTTCCCAGCATGATGGCACTCAGTATTTCAAAAGTATTTACCTTGTGATGTGGAAGGTAGGGGTTTTGGAAAAAGCATGTCTTTTATTTTTACTGCATTTATTTATTTTGCTGTGATAAAGGTCTATAAAGAGTATCCCTGAGATGGGGAAGGTTAAGTATGAAATAGAAATTCTTCAAGAAAAGGACTGATAATCAAAGTGGGGAGAAGATTAACAAGCAGCAACAAGCAGGCCCTTTGGGTCTTCTTTCATGTCCCCTTGGTAGTAGGGGGAGAATAAATATTAAAATACAAAGGCAATTCTGTCTTTTAAAGTTTTTTAATTTATTTTTATTTTTTATTTTTAGAGATGGGGTCTCACCATGTTGCCCAGGCTGGTCTTGAACTCCTGGGCTCAAGCAGTCCTCCTGTCTTGACCTCCCAAAATGCTGGGATTACAGGTGTGAGCCACGTTGCCCAGCCAAGGCAATTATTTAAAACTCCAAGTAGAGGGAGTGATATCTAAATGGATATATTTTATATGGTGTGGTGTTAATAATTACTACTACCAGTAGCTCTGTAAAATTCAAAAAGGACAGATATTTCAACTTAGATGGAAATTGCAAGGATAATGGATGAATTTAGGGAATAAACTGATATTCCACTGGACTCCAGAAGAATATTTCTCTTAGAATATGATTGGGATTTTTTTGTTAACATTTTTTACTTCTTAGAAGAGGAAGGACCCAATACTGAATAAAACATGAATTCTATAGTAGGAGCTTGTTTTTTTCCTCTAATTCAGCTAAGTATTCACATGTTTAAGTATCATGGAATGATTCTTGGTACAGGAAGAAGAGAAATGATTTGGGGTACAGAATTGCCAGCGTATGAGATGGTGTTTTTAGTTAGTGTGTGTTTATAAATAAATAATTTATTATTGTGTTTCTGTTTTGCATCTGCCTGGGTTGCTGAAAATTTGGTTTATGAGATGAAAACCACTGGGATGGTTCTTTTTTCCTTATATCTACCTTCTTTCCAAAAGTGGGAAGGGAAACAGGAAGGCCTTTAGTCCCTATTATTTAAAACTTTCTCTTAAAACTTTGAGACATAATCTATTATTTCTTCCTCAGAATCCCTTTGGCCCCTTTTAGTGGTCTCTAATGATTTCTTCTGTGTGTTAAAAGTATAGTGTTGATTTATAAGGAAATACATTAGGAATTTTGAATGAGGGATTTGGACTGCCTCTCCTTAGCCAAACTTCCTCTGGGATCTTCTTTACCACATTGTTTAGGGTAAAAGTAATAGGAAGTTTGCATTTTCTTATCAATCCAACTGGGTTTACTTTGTTTTCATTCCTTTTCGCTATTTCAAAATCCTATCCACCTGTTCTTTTTAATCTGGCTATCTATGTTCTTTTTTACATTAACAATTAGGATCAGTTGTGTGGCCGGGACCCTACTCTCACTGATGAGCTGCTGAATATTCTCACAGAGCTAACTCAACTCAGTAAGACTACCAATGCTAAAGTGGCACTTAGAGCACGCCAGGTAAGGCCATTTGTTGGTTTTCTTAAAGGAGGGATGGCTTTCATAGATTAGGCAGTCCTAGATACAATGAACTTTTGCTTAATCATCTTACAAAAAACATGTTATTTTCTATATGTGTCACATTTTCCTCAGAACAAATGTTTTCATGTGGTATGTTTTTAAAGAGAAAGGACAAGATTAATGCTGCATTTCTTTAAAATAGATGCCCTTTCCACATTAAAAAAAATCCTGGTATCATTCCCTTCCCTCCCTAGTAGCCCTGTGATAGTAAACCAGGGTCAGGTGGAGGCAAGGACACTCAGGGAAGGAAATAGACTCAATATTTCTTACTTCCCAAAGGGAGCTTAGAAGCAGATGAAAACTTCCAAGTGTACAGGAAATAATCAAGTGTGGAAAGCAGAAAGATAATGAAATGAATCTTAGGTGGTAGCAATCAGAACAACCCCAGAGAAGTCCAGTTAGTTTCACCCTGAAGTCTTCATTTCCATTCCAAAAGGTTTCAGCAGGGAAGCCAAGAGTTGGCGCTCCCTTTGTGTTTCAGTGCATGGGCATTGACAAGGAAGCAGCATTTGAAGCTGTTCAGTGACCTTCTGCTTTCTCTACAATTGTATCCATGTCACTGAACTACTCAAAGCTATTGAACCTCTCAGTGACCTGCTGAGGGTATTCAGATCCTACCGTGTCACTGTTTGTTTGTTTGTGACACTGCTTTCACTCTCTCTGCCCCTCACACACACTGGTGTTACTTCCTGACGCCTTCTCCTTGGTGCTGAGTACCTGGGGCTGTCAAAGCAGCTTTCCCTGTCTTTCTTTCTACTTCAGAGTTGCAAAAGGCTAGCTCTGCTACATCTACCTTCCCCACAGCTGCTCCCTGCCAGACCTGATTCCCAATTAACAGCTAGTCATGCAGTCCCCAGGACCAGCAGCTTTGCAATGGTAAATCACATACACTGATGGAACTTGACTGAAGCAGTTTTCTCTCCCTTCCCCCTACCCACCATGGGAAATTGGCCACAACGCAAATCATGGTGAGAGTCAACTGAGATTCAGTATTTGGTGGCATTGGCTTTATGTTGCAGGACCTAGAAGTTGTTTTACTTGGTCTCTGTTTTATCTGTGATGCCTGCACTTATAGATTTATATTTATTGCTTTTGTATCAGAGCTGCCTAATAGGAGCCTAGAATAATCACTCCCTGAGGAACGTGTGCCTCCTATTTTGTTCTCACTCTAGGTTCTTATTGCCTCCCATTTGCCATCATACGAGCTTCGCCATAACCAAGTAGAGTCTATCTTCCTATCAGCTATTGACATGTATGGACATCAATTTTGCATTGAGAACCTGCAGGTATATATATATATATATATAGCCCTTTCCTGCCTCTCTGGACTCTTATCTCCTTTATTCTCAAGCATAGTTTAAGTAATCAATTAATTAATTAATTTTGATTTTCCATGTAATGAAGTTTCATACCTTGACTTTCTAAAACGATTTATACTTAGGAATTTTTTTTTCATACAAATGCTGTTAGAATTGTGGCTTAGCTTAAAAATCAAATAGGCCTGCCTTGATAGAAGTGTCCTATTGAAGTCTTTATCTTTGTACTTTACCTAGAAAGTATTCTAGGCCAGAATTAAATAACAAGGCTGGTTGATTTCTGATATATATATATATACACACACACACACTTCTATAATGATTTATGATATTTGAATCAGATGTACACATACGTAGTTGTTACTCTTCTGGAGACAAAGCTATTTAAGTATCATTTAATTTTAATTTTATGTTAATACTAGTAAGCTTTATAAAAAGCTCGTTTTTAAGAGATTATTGGCTAATTTTACTGCTAATGAGAAGGACTGCCACAATTATTTTTCAAACATTATCTTCTCAGGAATAACTATATTTTTCTACCTGGAAACAAGGATACCATTGTTATATCTGGCCCAGGGGAATCTTTAGACTTTCTGTAACATTTCTTCCTGGGAATCTAGAGGGGAAAGAAGGATGTTTTTTCTTATTTGGTTAATAGCTGAAATCTAGGGTTTCAACTGGGGTTCAAATCTAGGGTTTACCATAGTGGAGTATTGAGACAATATTTATTTTATTTAATTTTTCTGAGACAGAGTCTCACTCTGTTACCCAGGCTGGAGTGTAGTGGCACAATCTCGGCTCACTGCAACCTCCACCTCCTGAGTTCAAGCGATTCTTGTGCCTTGGCCTCCTGAGTAGCTGGGATTACAGGCACGCACTACTACGCCCAGCTAATTCTTGTATATTTAACAAAGACAGGGTTTTGCCATGTTGGCCAGGCTGGTCTCGAACTCCTGACCTCAAGTGATCTGCATGCCTCACAGGCGTGAGCCACCATGCCTGGTGAAGACAATATTTAGAGAGTACAGATAAATGTCAGAAAAGAATAATAGTCATAAACACTTATATTAGCATACAAATAATGTACTGGTAATTCAGTATTCTAAGAATTTTACATGTATTTACTCATATAATACAACAGCCCTATGAGGATAGGTATTATTATTTTCTCCATTTTGTAGCTCAGGAAGTTGAGGCACAGAGAGATTACGGCATTCAGAGACAAAATTCTTAGGTTTCACTAAATGCTTCAAATGCCAAATAGTGTCCACTGAAATTGTTCTCCTTTTGATGTAAGGCTTAAGCCTGTCTTTGTATCTTCTAGAAACTCATCCTATCAGAAACATCTATTTTTGATGTCCTACCAAACTTCTTCTATCACAGCAACCAAGTAGTGAGGATGGCAGCTCTGGAGGTGAGTATTTATGGTAATGGGACATGACCTTTTGCTTTGTTTCTAGCTGGTTTCTTATATCCATTTGGCTGCCATGTGAGTTCTAGTTCTCTGGCCTTAAGGTTGGTTCTTAAGGGTAGTTAGTCTCTTCTCCTCTGAAACAGTATGTGCTTACTCAGATACTTTACTCAAGTGTTTCATCTGAACTCATCACCAGCTTCTAGGTTCCAATCACAGGAAAACAGCTGCCAGCATTTTTCAGTAGTTTCTATTTTCCAGGTATTTGAATTCTCCCATTTCATGAGTTAGGATTCCTTGTAACACAAAAAGTGAAAATATATGGCTGATCAGAGCATGTGTCATCTTACCATTGTGTGATTTGGGCCAAATTAAAATGGATTTTAGTTATGTTTTGGATTGTCAAGCAGCTCTTACAAAATACTTCCTCAAAGGAAAGAAAGTAATAGCATTTAATGAACTGTGTTTTAGGTATTTTATTTTTCTCATTTAATCCTACAGTTACTTTAGGAAGTAAGAAGAAAGTGAGACTCTGAGAGGTTAAGTGATTTGTCCAAAATCACACAGATAATAAGTGGAAGAGTTTGCATTTGAACTCAAGCTAATCTGACTCCAAAGACTTCTGTTTCCACTACAGCACACTACCTCATTAAGCACAAAAATTGCAGGCCCTGAATACCACTGTAAAGTTGCCAAATAGATGTTTTTTGAAGATGGGGAAAAAGTGTTTTAGATGATTTTATGTAATGTAACATCATGGTAGTCTGTTGCTAGCTCCTTTGTGTTACTTTTTATTTGTATTTTGTGGTAGAATGTAAATTATCCTACTCAGTAAATGCCAAAAGTTTTAAAACATTTAAGTGTTTTGTAGTGTTTTCGTGTCATCTAATGAGAAGCTTTCTTATATACTTCCCGTGCCATAGAATCTCAGGTAGCATTTTATGTGCATGGCAAATTTGCTGTGAAATGTGTGAGGTTGCACTGACAGTTTTTGCGGAGATGTAGCCTATTGCTGTTTCTTTTTTTAATTTAAATTTATTTTTATTTTATTTTATTGCTGTTCCTTTAACTCTTGAGTCAAGTTCATGTATTTGAGATATTATATGTCCAATTATGTCTTACTGTTTATACCTTACTGCTTTTGATCAGGGTTTGCTGAAAACTGATTTTGAGTGGGTGGGGAAGTCGGGGAAGACACAAAACAAAGACATGAGATAGTAAAAGAGTTGAACTGTGATTGCTTGTTTCTTCTATTTTCACTCTTTAAGTGGCTCAAAATCAGCACCTCTCATTTTCCTCACTGCTTAATCTTCTCTTGAAATGATCATGCTTAATAGATTAATAGTTGTAGTTCTAGATGCTGTCTTTTGCTAAAGATTAAACCTTCTCCAGGGTTTAGGTTAGTGTGAAAGAAGGTTTACAGTACACATAGGTATCCAGCAGAGGCCGCCTAGTTTTGTTTTCATTAGTAGTCATGGGTGTAGTATTAAGACTCCAGCTTTATTAATTAAAGCAAGATATGTATGTATACAGAGGGCCTTGGGACTTCTCTCCCCACAGAGCACCTTCTGCCTCAGATACCTCGTTTCAAGACTCTTTTTCTGGGCTATTTTCTTAATTTCTGTTTTTGAAATTTATTTACTGAGGATTACTTTTGAACCAGGTGTATGTTCGAAGGGCTTATATTGCCTACGAACTTAACAGCGTACAACACCGCCAGCTTAAGGACAACACCTGTGTGGTGGAATTCCAGTTCATGCTGCCCACATCTCATCCAAACAGGTGAGTTTGAGGTGGTATGTGCACCTGAGCCAGCCAGAGGTATACCATGAGAATCAAGGGGAGTAATGTGTATGACAATTCCATGTTTTTTTAATTAGAAATGTAGGGCAAAAAATGAACAATATGACCATAAGAGAAGAGCCTTTTGGTGCTCACTTCTTTGATCTAAAGAGACAAATTATGGTCTAAGTAAGATGAAAGTTTAGGATTACTCCATTCATTCTTGCTTGTATTATGTCACTGAGGAAATAGTTTCTTTTTTAAAAAAATAGAATTTAGTAGCATTTTACTTGCTAGAACTTTGCCAGAAAAATCACTTTTTTTTAACAATTTAAATCAGCAATTAGACCAAGAAAATATTTTGGGTGGAATGCTTTTCTTTTCTGTATGTTTGCTATGGGTTGAGGTTATACCTAAGCCAGTTTCATTGTCGCCCTAAAACAGACAACCTGAATTTAGCAATCAGTTTTTAAAAATTATATTTCAGAACCAAACTTCTTAATCTCAAATAAATTACTGAATTAAGCCATGATAATTACATTATTTGTCCCTTCCTGTGTCTTTTAAAAAATAAAATGTACATATGGACATTTTTGTGTCAGAATTGCTTTTGTTTTAAAATGAAAATATCTTACAGACTCATCTTTTAAGAAGTATTCTAAGGCAATGAAAATCTATGAATTCCACCCACACAGAGGTTCATCCCCTCCTGTACTTTCATTCTTTTTAGTAATACCACAGAAAATATAAATACCACAGCCAGTCTTAACCTGCCCCTCTCCATTTCTTCTTTATGGCGTTTGGTTCTTCACTTGGTATTACAAAGTACTGTGTCTTTGGGGAGCCTTAGTTATAGACACCAGAAATGGTTTTGTTCTAAATTGCCACTTCACCCAAAGCAATAGAAACCCTTTCTGGAGACAAAGAAGTCTGTGCTGAGACTTTTGGCCACTGGATGCCACTGTTGATCCAGCAGAGGTCGGCAGATGAGCAGAGGCATCTTCAGAAAAAGTACCTCTCTTCTTTGTCTCAGAATATCCTTTCACTTCTCTACCTCAAAAATACCTTACGGCTGGCAGAGAAAAGCATATATCCTTGATTTAGCAAGCATCTCTCGGTACATTTTTGCCTCCATGGATTTCAGAATCTCATTTTCTAGAAACGAATGGTTGTCCTTCAGTGAGCGGCGAAGTACTCATGGCACACATGGGCACAGCACTCAGTCTTCTTTCTTTTCCTGCATTCCTTGAATAATTGTAGAGAACTACACTCTATACTTAATGCTCTTTGTAATTCTCAGGGCAGTTCTCCTTTTCTTTCTGTTTTCTCCTGCTTCCCTTTGGGCAGTGATTTGTAGTCGGGCTGCAGGGCCGCTTCTGATTTCCTTTCCTCCTCATCACTCTCCTTGTCTTTCTTAATTGTTCTCCCTGTACTACTTTTTTTTATTTGAGGATATGTCCAGTTTGGTGAGGGAATGTTGGCTGAAAAATGAGAGGAATTCTTCTTGACTGCTTTGTTAAGAAATCTTATTCACCTTTCTATGTCAAGAGTGTGAATCTTGGTTAGTTCAACGTGGTTACAAAACTTGTACGCCTGTCCCTCCCAACATCTGGACATGCCTGTGGATAAAGATCAGACTTGAACATAACAGTAATCCTGTAATCTCCCTGAAGTCTCCCTTGGTTGTCAGTGTAATTCTAAACCTGCTGGATTGTTATTGTTATTGTCATCATTATTATTGGTGTAACTGTGAAGGTGGAGATAATTGCAAAATAAAAAGGAAAAATAAAATCATCTTTGTGAAAGCCAGAAAAATGTTAAAATTGCTTTAATTTTTTTTTGTATCTAAAGTTCTTTTGTTTAGGATCAAATGATCAGGTTTGATCATAAAATGATATATTCAGTTTCAGAGTATAGCTTGTTCAGTTATTGCAGATTTACTACTTGAATTTAGTTTTATAAGATTATATACATAATATATATAATGATATATATAATATAAATGAATATATGTATTTTTCCCCCAAATGTTTTTGTTATAATTTGGATTTATAGCCTTATTGTGACACCATCTGGTGTACTGCAATTGAATTCTGACACTAGCCATCTGAAGTTAGATCAGATGCCACAGGCTAAGTAAGGGCTCAGTCCACCACCAAATTGTCCCTACTTCAGATGGGGCCATAAATGGGGTGCCCCAGCCACTTGCACTTCTGACCAACTGGCTACAAATTTGAGGGTCCCCTCAGTTTTCTCGGTTTGATAATTCCCTCAGAACAACTCACAGAGTTCAAGCACTACAGTTTTATTGTCAGGATCAGCAAAAAGCACGAGACGCTTAGGGTGAAGTGTGGGACAGTCTCAAACACAGAGCTTCCCTGTTCATTCCCTGTGGAATCAGAGTGTATCAACTCTCTCAGCACATCCATGTGTTCACCAACCAAGAAGCTCCATTGACCTTCAGTGTCCAGAGTATTTTAAAATCAGGGCTTCATTACGTAGGCATGCTTGATTAAATCGTAGCCTACATGATTAAACTCAATCTCCCCTCCCAGAGGTCCGGCTGGCTGAAAGCCCTCAACTCTCTAATCATCTAGTTGGTCTTTCTAGTGACCAGCTCCCCTCCTGAGTCATCTCATCTCTTAGCATAAACTCAGATGTGATCCAGTGACACTCCTGTTACTTGGGAAATTTTAAGGATTTAGTCTCTCTTCCAGGAACCAGAGACAATGGCCAAAGTCTTTATTATACAATAGGCCTGCTCATCTTAAACAGAAATCTAAGCTGTTTTAGATTTAGCTAGTTTTGAGCCAAGTACTTTTCTAACTTTTTTTCTAACTCCAGTACTTTTTTCTTTTTTCTGTTATTGTTTTGATCAAGCAGGCAAAAAGCATATTGTTTCTCATTCTACAGAAAGAAGTTACAGAGGGCTACCAGTATTTGTTCTACTCCCAGTCCTATAAGGCTCAATTATGTCCACTAACCTCTAGATTAATGATTCTCAGAATTATCTGAGGGGCAATTTGAAAATACACATATTGGGGTCCTGACTTTCAAGACCTGATTCATTTTGGATTAGAGTCCCGGTGACCACTTTGAAAAGCTCCTCTGAACTCTGATGAACATCTATAATTGACAGTCACTACTTCTAAACTAGTACTGCCAAATAGAAATATAATACAAGCCACGTTATTTAGAAGTTTCTATTGGCCACATTTAAAAGAGTAAAAAGAAACAGATAAAATTAATTCAAATAGCATCTTATTTAACCTATTGTATCCAAAATGCCATTTCAATATGTAATAACAATTGTTAATATTTTTTCTTTTATTCATACTGTATCTTTGAAATTTAGCATGTATTCTATACTTACAGCATGTCTCAATATAAACTAGCCATATTTCAAATACTACCCTAGCTGCATGTGGCTAGTGGCTGCTATATTAGACAGTTCAACTTAGACCAAAAATTAATTAGGACAGTCACACTGACCACTCTTTTTTTTTGTTGTTGTTACTGGTAATGCCCTTGGAGAGAAGAAAAATTGTTATTCTTATGTTGCTTATTCTTAGTAGTTACAGGAATTATCCACACTTGATATTATAGATGTTACACAATATTTTATGCATGCTTTAAAAATTAGTGAGAATAAAGAAAAGGTATATGAATCATACATATTTTACTTATCAATGCAAAACAGAATTTTATATTTTTCCCAACTGAGGTTAACAAGCCAATTTTTTTTTTTTTTCTCCCGTAGAGATGGGGTCTTGCCATGTTACCAGGCTGGTCTCAAAATAATTCTCCTGCTTCAGCCTCTCAAGTAGCTGGGACTACAGGCATGTGCTGCCATACCTAGTGCAGACCAAAAATTCTTGGGGGAGAAAACAGGTTTTTTTTTTTTTTCGAGACGAGGTCTCAGCTCTGTCTCTCTGTCGCCCAGGCTGGAGTGCAGTGGCACGATATGGGCTCACTGCAAGCTCCGCCTTCCGGGTTCAAACGATTCTCCTGCCTCAGCCTCCCAAGTAGCTAGGACTACAGGCGCCCACCACCACATCTGGCAAATTTTTTGTATTTTTAATAGAGATGGGTTTTCACCGTGTTAGCCAAGATGGTCTTGATCTCCTGACCTTGTGATCCTCCTGCCTCGGCCTCCCAAAGTGCTGGGATTACAGGCATGAGCCACGGTATTTTGGTTAACCAATTTTTTGTGTTTTCTTTCCTTGCACTTGGTCTTCACATTCCTAGCTGGGTGTTTTTGAAGTAGACAAAATTTGTCCAGCACATCATTGGAAGTATCTTAATAAGCTGTAATATCAAAGCAAGACTGCAATCTCATTGTGTATGGAATTCCATTCCTGCAGCTTTTTTTTTTTTTTTTTTGAGATGGAGTTTCACTCTTTTTGCTCAGGCTGGAGTGCAGTGGCGCAATCTTGGCTCACCGCAACCTCTGCCTTCTGAGTTCAAGCGATTCTTCTGCCTCAGCCTCCCGATTAGTTGGGGTTACAGCATGCGCCACCACACTCGGCTAATTTTGCATTTTTAGTAGAGACGGTGTTTCTCCGTGTTGGTCAGGCTGGTCTCCAACTCCTGACCACAGGTGATCTACCTGCCTCGGCCCCCCAAAGTGGTGGAATTACAGGTGTAAGCCACTGCGCCCGGCCTTATTTGTTTCTTAACTCCTCTTACTATAATTCCCAGTCATGTAGTTTGTTTTTTGACTGTGATTTAGCTTCCATAGGTTGGGGTGAAACATGGCACTCTGTCTGCAAACTGGCAGCAGAGTTTTGTTTTTTGTTTTTCCCAGGAAAATCCCTTGGTTACTGTTGGGATTAAAGACCTGTGTCTTATTAGGACCTATTTTGATTTTTGGAGAAGTAGGCAAAATATATTGCAAACGACTAGGGGAGCCTCTAAAAAGGAGAAGACAGCCATTTTTAGCACACTTGAAGAGTTGCTGTGTAGTAACATAGTTGGTACATTTTTATTTTTGTTTTAAT